CCCCTGTCTTCTACAAGACTGCTAATATACTGATTTCTGCTACTCCTGAGGAATATCCAGTTATGCACAGGGCCATTTCCTGCCTGTGGAATTCCACATTCCACAGGAGACAAACCAGTCAATAAACGCATGTGTGACCAATTTACTCTCCAGAAGGAGAAGGCTCTGACCAGGCATCTGCTTGCTCCATCACAATAAGCTTCTCCATAGAAAGTAAATACTCAAATTCAGAGAAATCCAAGATAATGCATGCACATGGATTAAAAACCGGTTAAGAAACAGTTAACAGCATCTCATCTTAAGGGACATAACCTCAAATCAGGTAACTGGAAGTAGTAGTGTACCACAGTGAATTTTGTCCCATCGTAATTTCTGATCATATCAAGGATTTAGATTCTGGTATAGCTGACAAACTTCGTAAATTTTCTGATGATACAAAAATAAGGAGAATAGTGAACAGAAACAGCAACAGTGCAATACTATACATGCAGTGCCGTGCAAAAGTATTCACCTCTTTCCAATGATGTTCCATTTTGTTAGCTTATGCAGGTTTTTCTTTACTATTTCTTTGCTTCATCAGTCTTGCCAAGCTACTCATTTCGTGCTAATGGGAAACAGGATTGTAACATTAATGCTGCCACCACCATGCTTCACAGTAGGGATGTTGATGACTGAGTGATACACTGTGTTGGATTTTTGCTTCAGATGTCATTCTTTGTATTTACGCCAAAAGTTATTATTTTTTACCATGAAACCTTTTTCTATTATAATATCACTTAAATGCCATGCAGAACTTGAAATGGTTTTCCCACTCTGCCATATGGGCTAGCTTTGTGGAATAACTGGGTCATGCACATTTTCTTCCATCTATGCCATTGACCTCTGTAGCTCTTTAAAGCCACTTTTGAACTCACAGTTGCATTCCTAATCCTCCTTTCCCATCTACTCAGTTTGGTGGGATAGCCTGATCTAGAGAGAGTGGCAGGGTGGTCTGGTAAACATTTCAATTCTTAATGATTGGCTTCATAGTGCTCAAATGGACATTCAGTGTTTTAAATTTTTAGACCTTTTTACTGATCTGTGCTTATTTACAACTTTACTTCTGAGTTGTCTTTATAGTTGCAATTCACTACCTGACTGAGGGCCTTACAGAGATTCATGTATTTATTCTGAAGTCATGTGAACAACTATTATTGCATAGACAGAGGCCACTCAAATAATTGTCTTATTAAGGTAACTAAAATACTGTTTTATATTGAATAATAATACTGTATGATCATATTATCTATTCTTTCTTTTTGTTTTTTTTTTTTGCTTTGAGTGTGTTGAGTAGTGTGCATATATAACAATATTAATTGATACTTCAAAGTGTCATGACTGAAACTAAATCCAATAATGGGTGAAGTGGGTATAAAAAAGCAAAGTAGAACAAACCTTTATGTAGATGTAATGTTGAATCACTATAATGCTTGTTGGTTTTCATTGTGTAAAAATGTTTACACGTGTAAAAAAGTGTGTGTGCTGTTGGTACCGTATATTATCAGTGTGAGACAATCCACCATAAGACTAGACGGTGTGGTGAAAATGGCAGATATGAATAAAGTAAAATAAGATATTTAATAATGAATAGGGTAAATATAATTTTGGAAACATAGATGTTAAAATGATAAAGGCACATTAGGAAAAACAGGATTATATAGAAGTATGTGTATGTTATTAATTTAAGTCTGTAAACACGGAGAAATTGGAGAAAATTAAACCAGATAATAATGAAACAACTCCTGTTTAGATTCTGGGTAAATTGAGACCATTACTTTCAGAATTGTAACTGAAGTAGCATCTAATACAATGCAAAGCACATTCACTGTTAAAGTTGTAATTAGACTTAAATACATTTTTTTCAAAGTATTTGTTTATTACTAAGTATTGCTGTAATCTGTTGAAACTCTTGGTTGAATGTCCACATTGTGAAACTACAATAAGAAGAGATTCAGTGATGTATTTTCTGTTTTGTTATGTTTTCAATGTTGTGCTTGTTATCTATAGGATGAGAAAAATACTAAAAGAAACTGAGGTAATAACTATCAAGTTCAGTTACTGTAGGTGCAATTTGGAAGCACCCAGTGGAATAGTCATATGATCTATATAGTGAAGCATTTGGGTTTTATCAGATCACTTGGAACATAAACACCATGATCAGTCTCAATAAAGGAGATCCAGAAAGAACAGGGATCTAGAGTTGGAGCATCTTATGAAGACAGTAGTATGTAGTATTATCTCCTTTCAGTCACTGAGGGAAATTGATTACTCAAAAGGTTTAATTACATGATTTTTTCTCCTTGAACAATGATTTTGTCCTGAAATATTTCCACTGTAGTCAGTGCAGTGATATTCATCTTTTGAACCCTACATAGTTCTGCTTTCAGTGTACAGACATAGGTAGTAAGTTCTTCCATCACCTGAGCAGTGAAGTCTTGTCTGTGAGCACAGAGGAGTGTGCTACTCACATGGATTGCCTTATTGATCAACTTAAGCACCTCATCCAGCATTTGTGATACCAAGCCATGGATGGTGATGCTACAAGCAGTGAGAGTTCGCTTGATCACCTACACCATTTCCTTCCAAATGTCTTTGGCATGGATCCAGTGTACACATGCGAAAACTTTTTCCTTCGTAGTCTCAATTTCTACTTGGAAGTTAACAAAGGCAGAGAAGGTTCTGCAAGGTGGTGGGCTACAATTGAGTTATGGAGGAGGTAGAGAGAAATCTAGTAATATCTAGCTGTTTTTACATTTTTGCCAATAAAACCCACCTTGCTTTTGGGTAATGAATTCATTCTTAATTTTTTTTTTCTTTTGGAGTTAAAACAATACACTTCTTTTTTGATGAAACCATAGTAGCCATTTCTTGTTTAATTCATTCCACAATATGTCTCCTGTAATAGGTATCTGTCTGAAACTAAATGTGCAGAGGGACATTATTAACGTTTGGGGTTTTGATTAATTTCAATTATTGATTTTTTTCTCACAGGCTTTCTTTTTTTGTTATTATTTTCAGATAGATTTAGTATGAATTTGACATAACTAAATGTATGCACTTCTCCTGTAATTATAGCAAGGTCACAGCAGTATTTTGCAGAACTTTATTTTTTAGTTAATAATGCAGTTCTTACAGAATTAATGATATAGTTGAGAGTGACTTCTAATAGTAGGTCAGCTCCTAACAAGGCTGTCGTATTGTTTGTTTGTTTAAAGTTACTTATCTTTTCACTTATATATAGATTTATTTCCCTATTTGTAATAACTATTTGCTAAATGGCTTGGATAATCTGTATACCTCTTGTACCACACTGGGGAAATGTGATACAAAATGAGAAACATGTGACTGTCAGAGTCATTTCACTTTACAATATTTCAAAGAATAGAGACTTAAGACTGGAGTGTTACAGATACTGGCTACACTGGGTTCCAACAAGTCACAGGGGTTTTCCAGTCTATTGCAGGCTGCACACACACCAATTACCACCAATTAAAATAGTCTGCTTTTCTTTTAAAGTTTAAAAGGGAGGAACTTAGTGAAAACTAATGATAACATGGACTGTAAAATTTGCTTACTTAGAATTAAACATACTGCTATAAGGATTTCACAATTTGAAAGCAATCCATTTTATTTTCACCAAGAAGACAAAAAAGTGAATAAAGCCCTTAATTGAAAGAGAAAAATTCAGCTGTCCTCTAAAGTTAGTTTTACTTTCGGTATGCCAAATGATGTAGCCTCTTTATTTGATTTAAAAGCTTACTGAGATGCATTTGGTGCTCTCTAAGTCCTCTTACTGCTTCTACTTGGAGTTTATCAGAAAGGGATCTGGGAGAGTTTGAAAAAATGAAAAGCACTTCTTTTCACACAGGCACTATGGTGCTTTGCAAAACACTTTCCAAAACTGACAATTGAGCTCGGTGAGCACTGAACCTATTTCAAAGGATTGAATGCTAGCTAAATGGGATGAAACACTTCAGAATTCATTTACATCAGCCTGACGTGGCTTTAGATCTTGTGCAGCGAGTCATTGACTGGTTAGAAATTCTGAGGATGATCTTCAAATTCTTCAATCAGTAGTCATGAAAGTATTAGATTCAAGTATCCTCTAGGCAGACAGTTGTCTCCTGTTGCCATTCTCTGAGGGGAATTTTTGGTATCGGAGTGTTTTCTAACACCTTTAAAAAGACAGCTGCATTTGAATGTACAAATTTAGATCTGTTACTGTAGTCATCAAATGTTGTTCTCCAATAGCTAGTTTTTGAAAATGGTCAAATTAATACATATAAAATGTATACATTCCTTCTTTTCTTATAAAACTAGCTCAAGGTGAGATGCAATTTAAACTTACAACACTTCAGATAAGTACTGTACCTCTTAGTGAAGTAATTGGAACTATACCCTTCTTCTTTACTAAAATTTCAAGTGGGTTATATTTACCTATTGAAGATTCATGCTGAATTATAAACTTCATAAAATTTAAATCCTTTAAAAATAAGTAAGGGCTAGATTTGTAGCATATTGTCACATAAAAAAGGAAAGGAAATAAAGAAGCCTGTTAATTCACTTTAATATTGGATTCTGTTATTTCCATTTTGTTAAGATCACTAAAATATGCTGAATATAGTTGATTTTTGTGTGCATTTGCCACAAAAGTAACAAAACTATTTCAAAGTTCAGTATCTTTAAAGAGCTCTTTAGTAGTCCTTTGTTTGATTATGTTAACTAAAGCATCTATAACCCTGGTTTGATATAGCTACATTTTTTGTACAAATTGTTGTTTGAAAGCATAAGAATAACTTACATCGTTCTTTTCTTGTGCTAAAGTATGCCACTTCAGTGTGCCTCAGCAGCATTATCTGTTTATCTCATGGGCTAATTGATTTAAAACTGGCCATTATGTAAACTGAAAAAAGAACCGAGAACCGAGAATGAGCTTTATTAAATGTTTTATTCCTTTACAGGTCCATAGTACAAGAGTCACTTTCTTCCTTAATGGCTTAGAAGAAGACAACACTGCTTTTGATACGAAATTATTGGCCAGCCCTATTATGAATGTAAAAAATAATGCCATTATGCGAATTGGACAGAGTTTAAATGGTAAGTTATTTATGTGTTACAACAAAAATGTTTTATTTTATTAATAAGGAGTCAGGCAGTTTTTGGTCTTTATAATAAAGATACATGTGACCTGCTCTCCACAAATAAAGGAATATTTATCACTTACGTTTCTTTCCTGACAATGTGTTTAATAAAGCCAAAGCTAGTCTTTATATCCAGTATATAGTTTTGTAGAAATTATCTGTACACAGTCATTTACTTTTGTCCTTTGGGATAGAGAAAGTGTTTTGGTCATTTTAAAATGTTTTAATGTTAATTTTGTAACATATTTATACATTCTCTAGTACGAACCCTTTTTAGATTTGAGAAGCTTTCATGTGTCTTTTCCATTTAAAATGTAAGTGTGGAAACGTATGTGTTAATAGAAAGAGACCCAGACTAAGGAAATATAAACTTTTTTAACTGGTTTAAAAAAAATGCAAATCTACACAGTTAAAATAAAAGTTTCAGCTAGAGTAATCCTATTAACATGCAAAAGAGGCAGAGTTAAAAAAGAAGAGCCTCTGAATTTCTCTGGTTTTGATGTTAGACTCTCCCAAATGATGGTGAAAAAGCTTAGCAGTTGTCATGGGAACTTCTGCTCTGAGTGACTTAATTATCCTCATTGTTGGTCCTATATGATATGCTGCATAATGAAAACGACAAATCTATAAAGAAGCTCTGCGGAGGCATTTCAGTGACTGCGTCATGTATTCTAACCCTCTTGGATTCCACCAGACTCTGTTATCCAAATCATTTTCATCCCTTCTGTACTGACAGACCAACAAATGGCTCTTCTACTGTCCCTTTAAATAAATTTAAAAAATAAAAACGCCTGTACTGTGAGCCAGTGAATGACTGAATGTAAAACACTGGCACTTTGAGTAATTTTCTAGTTGCATACCTGTTGTCAGAAAACTGTACAAAATGCTAATAGATCAACATCATCCAGCTAGTGTATCTTTAGCTCTAATAAAAGCCTATATAATGGTAATCCATTGTTTACTGTGGATCTTGAGGTCTCATTTAAATGCAATTGACATTTTATTTCAGGGACGAATCAATTTAGTGGATGGATGCAGGATTTTCGTTTCTATCCCACAACTCTGACAAACAGGTAAAAAAGCTAATCTTAAGTGTGACAAGGCAAACTGTAATTCAAATATAATTTTGAGATGCAGCTTTATTTTGATTATACTGCTATTTAATTTTCCATTTTATTATATCCTTTTTAGAATAAAAGCAATAACATATTCATAAGCTGCAACTGTTCCATTCTTTAGATGAGTATACTGTACATCCTAAAGATATTCACATAATTAACTTTTGCCTATTGCTCAGGAAGAAAATCATGCAAAATCTTAGCAATACCTTTTACAGTATATATGTGTATGTATAGGGTATGTGTCTTCCAACAAAGATCTTTCAGGTTTATGGCATTACAATTCTGAGAAGCAAAACTGTCTAAACAGACAGTGTTGTAAGTCTATACTGTATATTCTATATCTTTCAACTGTATTTCATCTGTATTAACACAAATGGCAACTGTGAAATGATGGAACGTTTCGTTAAGGTACAGTACTGTCTATGCTAGATGTGTAAGATGCATTTATAGTAAGTACAGTATATTCATTTTTCCAAAACACTCAAGACGTTTGAATGTTAGAATAGCCAGTAGTGCCATTGAAGCATTAAATCCTTAAGGCATTTATTTCTTTTGTAACTTCTTTCCTGATGACTTTTTTGTTTTTTTTTTAATATCAGACATCAATTCAGTTTCTCGTTCTCCAGTATAATAATACAATAAACGTAAGTGCTATTGTAGTAAATTCCACTAAAAGGATTTTTTAAGAAAAAAAATATTTGAAAAAATATAAAGAAGGAAAGAGACCCTGTCTTTCTATGCAGTGTTTGCCCTTGTACTTTTTGGACATTATGTGTTCTGTTTATTTATGGCAGAGAGATCGTTGAAGTCTTTTCCGGCCAGATGCCTCATCTCCACACCCAGACAGAGTGCCGATGTCCTAGTAGCCACCCACGAGTGCACCCATTAATAGAGAGATACTGCATCCCCAATGGTGTTGAGGATACAACCAATGACAGGGTTCTTCGACTGAACCTAGATGCCCATCCTCTCCATTATATAAATGACAATGATATCGGCACTTCCTGGATTTCGGCAGTATTTTCCAACATGAGTCAACTGGAGAACGGAGTGACCATCACCTTTGATCTTCAGAATGGACAGTACCAGGTGACAGAAAGGCTGCTTTATTGGCTTAGACAGTTATGATAGTATAAAATAATAAAATGCATATGCTCTGTTAGTCAGGTGTTTGGAACACGCATTTGGAACAAGTACAGGTTAAAAATCATAATAAAGCTTATAATATTGACAGTGGTCTTCATTGTTGATGAAAGTCTAGAGATTCCTGAACTGACTGAATTCTTGAATTCCTAGAGATTCCTGAACTGATTCCTGAATTTCTTGGCTAATATTGTACCTCAGACAGTGACGAATATAACAGAAACAAACATATTCTTTAAAGGTAAAACATGAATGTCTGTTTGTTCTTTTAAAAAATGGAGACAGCATTCAGCAGGCATTGTTCTCAAAATGTCCGTAACTCTTCATACATTATCCTTTTACTACAAGAAAGATGTGACTGGGAATGTTTTCTTTATTTGACCTCAAAAAAATGTTTTAGCAAAAGTAACACAAATGCTGTTAATTCCAATATGATACTAACATGTTTTTTCACAATAGTATTGTATTTTTGACTGTGTAATGAAAAATAAATATTTTTGTGTTTTCGTGGCAGATTCACCATAGTTACATTATTACATTTGTGGAAATAGTCCTGAAAAGTCATTTTTTGATTATTTGAAAAAAGAATGATTATCTAGTTATAGATATCCATATATTTAATCAAAGAGAAAAATATGCTTTTATTTCTGAGGGAAAATATACTGTAGCTCAATGGGTAGTGTATTCTACAGGTTATTGTTGGTGGTTATCTACTCATGTGTAACAATACATTAGTAGGCAAAGGAGAAATATCCTTATCTTCAGTTCCTGTGTGCATCATTGGTTGCTTTTATAACATCTGGGACCTTATTTACTAAATGGCAGTTGTGAATGTACTGTTTGGAGAAGATGAGTACTGTTCGTTATTATGTATAATTCTGTTTACTGTTCCCATTACCATGTGGAAAATGAGGACTTACTAAAGGAAATGAATAGAGCTGTAAGCACTGCTGGTGCCTAATTTGTATTGAAATAATGATGTGTATGTATGGAAAAAACAGTTTGCGGAGTACTGATACTAACACTTTATATGTTCACAAATTATTCATGAAGGTCTGACAAGTCTTTGCTGCAAGTAAAAATCACAGAAAATACTACTCCTGAATGCTAGTCAAGAGGACAGAAACAATCACATTAGGGCATAAGTGCTAAAGTAGGATACTGTAAATTTCATGGCTGTTAATATAACCAGAAGGGATCAACAAATTTATTATATGTTCAAGAATACTAAAAAGTATATTTTTAAGATTTTAGCAGGGAAAGGGCTTAATAGGGAGTACTTACTAGTGAAGGAGACCAGGTTGAGCCCAGATTTTACTGATTTCATACTGGGTCATTAATTGTCTGTGACTTGGATTTGCCTGACCACTGCTAGAGTTTGGTGGACTTTCATTGACCAAAGTGTAAGATGAAAACAGTGACTTGCAGTAAGAGGTGCACAGCTCGGTTCTGTTTAAATGCCCTGTAAGGTGCTTCCTGGAGCTTGCTCCATCTCAAATGGCAAATAAGTGCTACTCGTAGGCTAGTGGACACTTTTAGCTATTGAATGTTATAAAGGTGATTAACAACCAGGATTTTAAACACTGAAATGTCAACTTTTATATGGTCATTTAATAAATGAAATGATACAGACAGGACCCAATTAGCTGGCCCAACAAAACAACACACTAATTATTTCGACACAAGCTAAAGGATTTATAATTTTCTTTTTCTCACTGTCCTGCTGTCTTTTGTCTCTGTCCCTGTCCCTACTGAAAATACAGTACCTTCATCTGTTATGAATCAACAGTAAAACTCAGACTTTGTGGTGCTCATTTGTTAATTCTGATTTTTAGATGCAGTACCTTTACATTCGGTTTCATAAATGGTATTAACATGTGGTATTATGTTTATTATTATTTAGTAAATCAGGCTATTGATGTATTAATAAATTCTAAATATGTTATAAAATATCACATACAGTATAAATATCTTATATAACTGTTATATGAATATCTCAGTTATTGGAGTTACAGAGTACAGGAAACATGAAGATTTTTATGTTTGCAAGTTCAGAATTAACACAAAGCGATTAGTAAGGAAAGGAAAGTCAAACTCAGACAGAAAAGGTTGTTGTTGTACTGACAAAGAAGTTCTTAACAGTTCAATTCAGTTGATAAAATTGAGAGCACTTGGGTTTGTAATATTAGTAGTAAAATTGCTGACCAGTTTTACAAACCTTGGAATTAGATAGCAGTGAAACTGTAAAGCAATAAGGTTTCAAGCTGTTCTTCACAGCATAAATATGCTTTAGGAGTCAGCAGTGCGTTGACTGTTACAGTGCAGATAATAGATAATCCTATGCTGTTTAGTATTTCATGCATATTTTCCTCTATCAATTTTCATGGTTCCTTTGCAGGTTTTCTATGTTATTCTACAATTTCTCAGCCCACAGCCCGAAGCTGTAAAAATTCAAAGGAAAAAGAGTAACAGCTCAGAGTGGATGGACTGGCAATACCTTGCTAAGAACTGCAGGTTTTTTGGAATGGAAGATAATGGACCTTTGGAAAAACCAGACTCTGTGAACTGTCTTCAGTTTCCAAGGTATTTTTTTGTTTTTCTTTACTTGATCGCATGTAAGTAATGATACATTTCATGCAATAAATTCAATGTTTGAGATCTTTATTTTATTATTACTTCTTTTAATTTGTTATATATTATAGTTGTAATTTTTAACTTTATACAAAATTATTTTGTTGTTTATACAAAATCATTTTGTAGTAGTGTTCAATTAAAGTATAACTCAGTGCTTAACACACATTAGCTTACACAACCTAAATCGAACATAATCATAATTATCTTCATCACTGTATTTTGTATATGAAAATGCAACTTTTCAGATCTTAGCTGCTGAAGTACTGGTATTTAATTCAAGATTTACTGCTCATTACAGAATGTTTTCTGTAGTACACATTTGGGAAACAACAAAACAATGGAAGTAATACCGACTCCTTTGGGTGTTTTGGTACAGTATGCTATGGTTCCTTTGTTTAATCTGCTCACTATATTATTTTATATGCACAGTTTATTTAATAACTTTCCATAGTTAAATTCACACCCATATAAGAATGGCAAAATTACCAAAATTCTGTAAAGAAGAGGGGATTGTGAAACTTTCAAATGACAAGATGCCTGGACTCATATCATAGATACAGCATATGCAGAAGTAGAACATCCTTGCGGACTTGCTTGTGTAATGTTCAGTATACTAAAAATGTAGAAGAATTCAATTCAATACATCTAATCTTGTGATTCCCTAACTTTGTAGGAATTTATGATGTAGAGCTTGTTACTGTACATCCTGTTTTCAGGGTGAAGCAATCTATAGCATTTATAGCACAGACATTAATAGAACTTGCAATTACGAGGCCTTTCGTCAAACTAATTTAATGGTTCTACTGATTGTGAAAGGAATTTTTACAGCATATATTTTAAAATATATTCTTAAGAAATGCATTGCATGAAAGTCAGATAAAAAGGTTTTTCTAGCTGTGATATTTTTCTACTGTCTAAAATACAATATATTTATTTTATTAGTAAAAGTTCTTATTGAAAGGCATGTCTTATTCCTTTCCACAAATAGAATGTTTTCCTTCAAAATACATTTTGATAAAATAGTATGGGTTAGAAAACAATAAAGCAAGTTATCCAAAGAAGTCCAGGTATGACATTCCATCTTAACATGCAAGAAGTGAAATTTGAGCATTGTGAATGATTTCCTCTAAATACGGTGTCTTCTGGATTTATTTATACTCCTGATAAAATAATTACAAAAAACATCATATACAAGAACAAGTTACAGATTGGAGAATGTGTGTCACATAAATATTTTATATACTCTGCAACAGCAGGAACAAGAAAGGGCATACCCAGGATGGAATGCCAGTCCATCGCTGGGAAAACCCATACAATAGGCAGAGACACTCACACATACACCTAGGGCCAATTTCCCAGAAATCAATTAACCTACTAGTATGTTTTTGGACTGTGGGAGGAATCCAGAGCACTGGAGGAAACCTATAGTATGCAAACATGGGAAGCACACACAGATTCCATGCAGATAGCACCCCAGGCCTGCGATTGATCCCAGGGTCCCAGCACAGCAAGGCAACAATGCTATCTATTGCTCCACCCTTAGAGAAAAGTCATAAATAATTCTATTACCAAAAATAACTGAATTACAAATCAGAAGAGTTTCACACTCATTCACACCTCTAAATATTTGTCACGCCCCACACTCTCCCTAGCAAATGCCGTTACATTCCAAAACCCACTGTTTCACAATCTCATTCCTAATTGGACCCATCACATTCTCACATGTACCAGATTATCCCGGACCAATTATCCAACTATGTCCCTTTCCCTTCAGTATTTAAAATTCCAGGAAAACCAGGCTCCACGGCCGAAACGTTGTGTTCTCTTTCTTCTTTTTTTCAGCATGGAATAAACCTATTACTTGTTTGCAGCCTACGCATGCTGACGCAGCTACCCACCTGAACTACAACCGCCTACAGATGCTGCGACCCACTATGCCTTTCTCCAAATCTTTTTCTAGATCTCTTCGTCATACCTTCTCTTCCTCCCTGGGCCACTTGCCCGCTTCTCTCACTAACACACCTCTTGATTGGCCTCTCTTTCTGTCCCCTGCTCCCGCCTCTCACTCCTCCTCCCTCCCAACCTTTGTTCTCCCGCTACTTTACCTTTGCCTACTGCCCTGTCTCTCTCACACCTGAAGAAGGCTCCACGGCCGAAACGTTGTGTTCTCTTTCTTCTTTTTTTCAGCATGGAATAAACCTATTACTTGTTTGCAGCCTACGCATGCTGACGCAGCTACCCACCTGTTTTTATTTTTTATTTAAACTAAACAACATTATCCAATCTGTATAGTTCTGTTACTTGATACTTATTGTTCTTAATCAGGAGTCTGAATAAATGTGGTACTATATTCCTAGAAATGTTATCAGATTCTAATGGATAAAGGGGACTTCAGAAAGAACTCTGAATCTTAAGGAAAAAAAAATCAAGATTTTACAGCCGTGGAAATTTGTCTCTGTTTTTTTCTTTAAGACATAAATGGATTTATGCACCAGAAGCTTAGCTAAGTATCATGTCAAACTTTGTATTTTTTGATTCATTGATTTTATTGCCACCCCACTGTCACACTTAAGCATGGGTGAAGCCTGTGACGTTATGAGTCCTGTGTTCCATTTTCCATGATCTGGATTCTCCGTGAGCTCTAGCACTGGCATTGTGTTCCTGTGATGCAGTGGCTGTTTTTTATCACTAAAAAGCATGTTTTTCTCAGTAGAAGCTGTTCCCTCAAACAGATTTATATCCATGCACATGTTCTCTGTGAGGTGATAGCTAAGGAGATAGAAAAAAAACTTAGGAATGCACTGAATGAACTAAATGAAATATAAACTCATAATGTCAGTACAATACAGATAATTTAGTATTCACAGTCTTTCAACTTCAGGTTGAGTGTTGCAACTTATGTTTATAAATTCTTTATAAAGTACCATCAGAGCATGAACTTAAACATGTAACCTACTGTAATAGGTAATTATCTTTACTAATGATTAATTCTGTTTGTATTAACAAACATATGTTTTATTCATAAGTTAAATAACATTTGAAATCATATTCAAAAACAGCTGTTTTTCCTTTTATTGTGAAATTCTTTCATTTTTACCTTTCTATCTTTACTCAGCAATGTCCCCTACTCCCGTGGCAATGTGACATTCAGTATTCTGACACCTGAACCGAACCGTCGTCCAGGATACAACGATTTCTACAACACACCAGCACTGCAGGAGTTTGTTAAAGCTTCTCAAATCAGGATACATCTACAGGGCCAGTACCACACCACTCCGACTTCAGTCAACTTCAGGCACAGATACTATGGAGTGGATGAAATTACCATTAGTGGGAGGTAAACTGCAGCAGTAGTTTTTTAAATACATAGATTTTATATCCTGTTCTATGGAATATTATTATTGTATGTCTGCTTTTTATAAAATTGTTTTTTTATTTAGAATAATTTGAGCTGGCAGGCTCAAACCTGGACATACATTTTATTGAATTACATTTGAATAAGCCAGTGTTCCTTAGAGCTGGAGCATGCTGTGTACTATGGTTTTTCCTCCATCCAAGTTCTTAATTATTTGCTATTTTATTTAAGTACTTTTTTGAAGCCTATTTTTATTTTGTTTTCAGGTCTTAAAAAGTTGAATGGGATGTGTAATTAGTATCTACTCTGCAGTAATTATTGAGTTTCAGGCCTGTCCTGTTTCAGGTCCGTTAGCTGAAATGTAACCTATTGTACCTACAATAAGTAGAAGAAAATCACTCAGGGAATGTCTGATACATTGTACTTTGTACCTGTGACCTTCATCATAAACCTATTAAGAGTTTCTTAGTCAGAAATAAGAGCAAACATAATAAGTGAGTTGAGGAGAAAATGTATGGAAGCTTATTAATGCCACAGAGAAAAAAAAACATTTTTTGCGTTTAAACGCAATGGTATTGCATTTAACAGAGAAACCTTTTGTGTTTATACGAGATGACTGAGTTAAACCAAGATACTTTTTGTGTTTATATGAGTGAACATTGTGTTAAAACATGATCATTTGTGAACAATACTGTTATTGCCAGTCAATCATTGAAGTTGTAAGCTCAAATCCACAAAAAAACTTTTACACTATCCTTACATCACATACATTTAATTTGAAATTTCACTGCAAAATATAGGAACAGTGCTATTGGAAGGCAGAAGACAGTATTTCTGTGTCAGTTTGCGCAGCAGGAATGTAAAGAGATAGGGGAATGCCAAAATAAAAGAAAAACGTTTCCAGGATGGTACACGACCAGTTTGTACATTGTTGGCTTTCTGTATAAGGCTTACTGTCAAGCCATTGTAAATATATTCCACTCAATGTTTAAAGAGTAGGCAAAACAACATAGTTCATTTTTCTGCAGTTTCACATCAAGATAACTTATGATTGGAAAGACATATTTCTACTTTACACAGAAATTTCACCCAGGAATGCTCACTAACATGGTGTTGTACTTCATATATACAAAAGACAGTACATGTGCTTCTGTAGACTAATTCTTTTTGCACAAAGAGGCGTGTGATAGTACTGTATTCTTCTGTTGCTAAAGTCAGTGCTAGTTTGTATGCAACAGTATCATTGCATATATATACTGTATATGCAAGATATTTATATAGTAGGCAATATAATTCACATTACTTATCATGTTTTCATGCAGTTTTCTCATATAAACGCAAAAATCCCTGTATCTAGTTTTAACACAAAAAAACTTTATTGTTTAAATACTAACACAATACTATGTTGGTTAAGTGCAAAACGTTTCTCATTTAAACCCAATACTATCTTGCTTAAATGCAAAAAAAATAAGCTTCAGTAAGATTGCATAACATTCTGTAAAAATCTATAAGATGACAATGTTGGATATAACATAATTCAGCTAGGGTGTTCTTAAAGCAAGGGCTGAGTGCACAGAAAGTCTAACAAAGCTAACAAATTAGTTACAGGTACCAATTAGCAAAAGTGATTATGCCCAGTATAAACAAATTACAGTAGACATACCGTAGATATCTCTTAAGTCTAGGATTGAGAACTGGTTCCACCTAAATTAAAAAAATGGGGAAATAGCTCAGAATCCAAATTTCACCTTTTTTTCTCTACAAGTGTGATATTCAAGTACTTGCAATATATACTTCACATTACTGGTGCAACCTTAGATATAAATCACAGACATGTTTAGCTTTTATGCATATACCCAGTTGTGTGTGTACATTCTGTGCTTTCTGAAATCTAGCTATTGTCCTGCCTTTTTAACGGTTCTGAATAATTCAAGCACTTATTTATTGGTTAATTAATTCAGTTCATCCAAATGCAACTGTTTTTGGGATATTACAAGCACAGCAAAATAATTTAACGTGAAGAAAAGACACTCAGCTATTAATATATTGCACTTTGTTTTATTAAGCCCTAATCTATGTCAAAGCAGTTTGAGTGACCAAATACAAAGTGGTTACTGGATGCCTTTTTTCATTCTAACAGAAACATCTTGTCTTTGCTGTGTCTTTATTCCTGATAAAATAAACATGAAATATTTTATGGGTATGGTAATTAACTAACTCATGCCCAGAAAAATATACAGTAGTGTCACATGTTCACATTTTAACAAATAAATGGATTAAGAAAAACTAAGTGTAATGTTACAGATAAAGTCTCAACACCAGGGAATCTTCTGTTATAAGCTCACATACTGTATGCATACTGTATATGAGACTACTTTCTATATATAGTGTATAAATACTGATTTGAGATGCTAGTGGAAGTCAAGCACATTATTAGTCTGCTGCATATGTGTTACGTGCTAAGTATAAGTGTTAACTTATACTTACAGTGCATAGGTGTTAATAAATTAAAACTGTATGCAGACAGATGGTATTGTATATGGACATGTTGGTTAGAATTGCTGTCTCACAGGCTGGGGCCCTGGGTTCAATTCTTGACCTCGGCTGCTATCTACTGTACATGAAGGGTGTATGTTCTCCCTGTGTTTAAGTGGTGTTTATCCTGGTGCTGTTGTTTCCTCCCATAGTCCAATAATTGGCTTCTGGAAAAAATCTCCCTGGTGTGAGTGTGTATGTGTTTGTGTCTGTGGGTGCCCTGTGATGGATTGGCATCCTGTCCAGGGTGTGTATTATCCTGCCTTGAACCCATTGCTCGCCAGGATAGGCTCTGGTTACCCTGCAACCCTGTATTGGATAAAGCGGTTAGAAACTGGATGGACATAATGACAAACACGCTTAATTCTTAATTTAAACATTCTCAATTACAATATTGCATTGTTCAATAGAACATATTTAACATAGTTCCCCTTAATGATATTCCCTTTAAAAAGTGATTTTCAATTAATATTTAAAAATGACCTAGAATTGTACCTCATGTAATATTGAGGTTTTAGGAGCCTGGCTCCCTTGCATTACAAATCCAGCTTGATATTTAGTTTGGCATTCATAAATGTTGAATGGAGCATCCATCTAATGTTGTAAAACCTGCACCTCTAGGAGACGACATTTTGCTTATCAGGGAGAACATTGCCTTCAGACACTCTTTAAACAAGATGTGAATGTTGCACAAGTAGTATGTTGCATCTGCTGCTCTAATAGTTGCTGGTATTTGCAGGTGTAACTGTCATGGGCATGCTGATCAGTGTGACACAAGCCTTAGCATCTACCGCTGTTCCTGCCTTCCAGAGAGCCACACCGAGGGAGATAATGTAAGTCCTCAAGGGGAAAGTCAATTATTAATTGCATTCCTTTAATGGCATTCTTTTAATGAACACAATTTAAAAATACACTGCAATTAAATTTTGGAAGGGGTACTTGTTCAGGTGGGTAGCTGCGTCAGCATGCGTAGGCTGCAAAGGAACAAGTAATAGGTTTATTCCATGCTGAAAAGAGAAGAGAGGGAACACAACATTTCGCTAACTTCTTTTAAGTTATCCAGTGAAGATTTTTAGGGGCGATTATATTTATTTTCATAAACAATCAAACAATCAACAACCAGAAAGTTTTGAACCTAAGAAATCTCACAGCACAAAACACAAGCATTTTATATTGTGTAAACCGTGCCACAGATAAGCAAAAGCAGAAATATAGAAACAATTAGTGTAAAAATGAAAACGATCAAAAATCATTAGTCTTCAAAAGTTTAAATGTATAAATGTTTGATTTTTCACATTCAGATTTATATTATTTGCCTTCATTTCTGAACCAAAACTGTACCTTTGCTTTCAGTAAATAGATGTGACATTTATTATATTATTTGCCTTCATTTCTGAACCAAAACTGTACCTTTGCTTTCAGTAAATAGATGTGACATTTACTATAAAACTACAAAATGGTGAACAACGTTTTTGCCTCCTGTTGAAAAGTGAAGCCAGGTGTACTCCTGGTTGCTGTTCTGGTCTCTCTCCTAACCTTATCTCTCTTGATAGAACACAATAGAGATAGCCGATATTTTACGCTATAAAAATTGACTTAAAAAATTCAGTAGTTCTTATAATAGCCTATGAAATATATAAATTAAAGCACACTTACTGTATATGTTTTTTGTTTATCTTTATTAATGTTACAAATTGCTAGCATCCTAAAGCTTTTTTGACTATTGCTGACATACTGTACATTTTTAAAATACTGTACTAGTTCTGAACAAAACATCTTATTCAACATACTGTAGACAATGAGTACAGATACATGTGTAAATCTGCAATATATAAGTATTGTGCTTTGTTGATTTAATTATTTATAACACACCCAATGCATTACTTACTCTTAGATATAGTTTCTCGCAGTTGAAGTAGTTTTTTGTTACCGTGTTAAAAAAATAAATATTAGTAGAAAGCAAAGCATCCCTTGCAGAGCTTATTGCTCTGATTTAATTACATAAAAAAGTTTACATCATTTTGTCTATTACATTGTATAATTATGTCCCAATGTCCCAATGTCATTTCATAGACATCCAAAACATTCTTGAAAACCTATGGAATTCTAAAGTGAAGAATTGTTTTGCTGTATGACAATAAGCAGGCAGTAAAGGAGAAACCTATTTCAAACTTTTTTTAATGCTGTTGTATACATACTGTAGTTTCAAGCAAGCACACTACTTAAGATATTCTTGCAAGGGGTGTTTTGCTCAAACCGACACAATGAATGCTGCCATTCTGTCAAGACCAGATGTCTTCTTATTTCTGTCATTTCATTAAACTGAAAGCCTAGTTTCTAATGACACACAGAAATTTTGCTTTTTCTCTTACTACTACTGTACCAATACCACAATTACTGCTAGCAATACTGTTACATCAAGATTATCAATTAAAAATGTGATGCATTGGCAGAGAAGACGGTCCTGTCCTTAAACAGTCCTGTTGAACAACTACTCCCTTTTCATAATAAAATGATATTGTTTGGTTTCTGAGCTTTTCCTACACCACCACTAGGAACTCATTGTTGAAGTTCTCACCTTGGACAGACTGGTGGATAACAATTCTTTGTATTGCTTGAGAAGAGTCCGACATATTCATAAATGTGTTTTTGTTCATCATTTGTGATATTTTTGTTAACCATTTGTGAAACCCAGCACACAGGAAGTAGAGAAAAGATGAGGCTATACAATATTATTACATATGTAATTAGTTAATAAACGATTATGTTTGCTTAACAGTTAATTATGTTGACCATATTGTCCTCTCTGGCAGCAAATACCGGTTGCCCAGACTTTTGTTTATTACACTAGTAATAACTAGTAATTACACTAACTTTTAACACAATTTTAAAAGTTTTTTTAAAACACAAATACAGTTAATACTGTATTATGCAGTCATTGTCTTAAGGCACCTTCACTAAGGAGAAACACAGTGATTCCTCACATTTCTATAAGAGTGCCCTTTTTTAATATTTATACCGCATAAGATAGAAGCCAATTTTTCTTTTAGATCTCAGTTCAAAATAATGGCTGTCTATAGAGGAAGATGAGCAGACAAGATACTGTGACTGGGAGATATTCATTTTGTATATGCTACAAGCTCCACTGTGTCTTACAAGAGGATTAGCAGTCATTTGTAAGTGTTTGGGAAGTTACAGGCATTCCTGTTTTAGAAGAACTCGGAGAGTACTGGCTGGCTAATCTCAGCCCTATCCCTAGCCTCTTTCTGCCAATTGTGTACTCAGAATTGTGGTCACATTCAATTACTGACTGTTAATTAATTGACCCAAACTTAACACACAACTTCTAGGTAATGGAACTGAACCTGGAGCAAGTGACTTCACTCAAGCTCCATAGTATGTTGTGATCTGCACCTGTGAGTTGAATCTCAGCTGCACTGAAATTGCCCCAACTTAGACAGTCCAGATGAGGTTCACTTTAAAGTGAGCTAGTAGAAATGGGGTATTAGATGCCATTTACATAATTTTACAAAAAATACCACACTGACTGATTTTATGTAATTCTTAACAATGGTTTCTTTTTATAATCCCACACATATATACTGTATATACTGCATGAAAGCATACAGCATGTATTATATTAACTTCCTGACAGAGAAAAACATTAAGAGCTCTGAAATCTATCCTCACAGTGTAAAATATCATACATCTTATCTTTACCAACTCTACACTCTAATGAAATGAGTTAATTTTTGACAGATTTTAAGACTGACCAATTTCTGTTCATGCATCCACATCATAAATACTTAAACTTTGGCCATATTTATTATAAGAAGATGGTGTTCTTCTGTCTCTATAATATTTTTTGGCAAAATAAAGGGATTTAAGCTATAAATATTTTATTGCTTCTGTTCTGTTAAATACCATACTGGAAATGACGAATGCAGTGCTAGTTCATTGAATTTTCTAAGTGACATTAAAGTAACAAAAGTCATCTGACATATGTCAAGATGATCAGTTGCGTTTCTCTGTCTGTGGGCTCACTCATCAGGATTTACAATGTACATCGGCTTCAAAGCAAACTTTCCTCCTCTGCTGTGCTGTTAATACGTCTGTGAAAGCTGGCTGGGTAGCACTTCACTCTAGTTATATCTGAACAAACCCTGGGCTTAGATTTTAGATTATTTCTTTTTAAATGAAATGAATGTTAACATTTCTGTATTTGCAGTCTAAACTAGGGATTATTACCAGGGTTAGAGATATTCATAAGGACAATTAAGACATACTGTAGCACATAAGTACTTTTTATAGTTACTTGTATTTATATGTTTATGATTTTCTATTTTTTTCAGTTTTAATTCCTAATCCCATGAATGACAGTGCAGAACTAAATTCATTTGAAGAAGTGTGTTCAAGTTTATTATTATTTTATTTGGTATTTTGTTTTATTATAGTAGGTGCCTAGATCTTCTGAAAAATCTAATACTTTAGCAGCAGAAAATGAGAAAGAACATGTTAAAATAGATTAGACAAGTCCAAGACTGGGTCCCATTAATTTAAGTAAAATCAAACAGATGCAAAGGAAAAGACTATTGCTCCACTACAACCTGCTGTTAGGTTCTTTTCTTCTCTCATGGCAATTACAGTAACATATTCCAAATCAAGCAATTCACTTGCAGAGCACAGACTTTAATGTATTGCCCACCTTAGTTTTTCATGGTCTTTTGTTGAAATTTCCTATTGCAATGAACCTTTTATTGTTCCCTGCTGTTGTACACTCTTTGATCAAAATTCACATAGTGATCATCTTCATTGCTGGAACTCACTATTCAATATGCAGGACTAATGTATTTTGATGTTTTTTGTTTTATGCACATCTTTCAAGATGCAGTTTAATGTCCAGAAAATTTGAGACAGGGCTGTTTTATTTGATCTTTTGACAGTTTCATTGTTGGTTGTACAAAATGTAAGATGTGCTCATGTTTGAATATCTCTTTTTTGTAGCTAAATAAAATGTTGAGAATGTGAAATGAAGCAATATGGATGCATTTAACTTCTTCCAGAAAATAGAAAAATGTGACTCACATTCATAATCCAATGTTTAATCAATATAATGCAGCTGTGGCCTTTTGACCAAAAAGTAACAAATATAATGATAAGGGCTAAAAGTGTAATGTCGCAGGTGGTGATTTGTGAGAACCCAAGCGCAAGAGGCCAGAGATTGAAAAGTGAAAGGAAGTGACAATGAAATAATTGATTACTGGCCAGCGGAGTTTAATCAGCACAGGCCAATCAGTAATGGGAAAGAAACGGGGCACAACAGACACAGGAGGAGCCAGCTTGCTGTATCCCTGTTGAAAAGAGGATGCTAAACAGCCTGTTGGTTGGAAAAAAGGAGTCTCGGGTACAGAATGAAAGCAAATATTGAGATCTCAGAAAAGTGAACCGACTTTCTTAAAGGGCAACCCCCAAGCTCGGGGGTCGATACAGTGAACACCGAAAGGAATAAATATGGAATTGAATGAGGGCTTGAAGCTGAGGCTGCTGTAACAGGAGAGGCTGAGAGCTGAGGCTGCTGCACAGAGCAAAGCACTGTGTTGAAGCCACAATTGCTGCCAAAAACATTCTGCTGGTGGGAAACAGGGAGCCTCAGGTACGGGACAACATGGATGGCAAGTCTCCTGGGAAAGCAGCCAGATGAATTTGAAGGGCAGACTTCAGGCTGAAAACTGCTTCGCAGAGCGAAGGCTGTCTTTAGGCCGCTCATTCTGCTGCTCAGAGTGAAGGCGGCTTTAGGGTGGCTCTAGACTGCTGCGTAGAGTGAAGCAGTGTCTTGAAGCCGGAATTACTGTCAAACATAGTCCGCTGGTCAAAACAGGGAGTCATGGGTATAGGTGAAATGAATGGCAAGCCTCCTGAGAAGGGAGACAGAGGGATCTGAAGGGCAGGATTGAAGCAGAAAACTACTGTGTGGAGTAAAGAGCTGGCTTAAAGCCAAAACTGCAGAGCAAAGGAAAGTGCTATGTTGAAGCTGAAATTGCTGCCAAACACAGTCCGCTGGTCTAAAACAGGGAGCCTCAGGTATGGGAGAAACTGAATAGGAAGCCTCCTGAAAACAAGGACCAAATGGGTTTGCAGGGCAGGCTTGAGGCTGCACAGAGTGAAGTCCCATCTTGTTCAGCGGAGATATGTGGAGAGTGAAAGCAGTACTGCCAGTGAGGAGAACCCGGGTTAAATTAAAGATGAGGTGGCACCTCGGCTTTAATTCAAAAACTGGGAATTGAACAATAAGTATGAAATTGCTAACACGGATCACGAAAAGGGGATCCAGTCAGAGCAACAAACCCTGGAAAACCATGAGCCCTGAGGCATGAAAAACCATGAGAATGTGAGGCTGTTATGACAAAAGTCTATCTAATAAGCAGACTTGTTTTAGTAGCAGCATCATAGAAAATGTGATTATTTTCAACAATATCTGAGCGATTGTTTTATCTCAGGAGATATAAACTATGGTGAAAAGCCATGTTGTTCATATACTGTACATGCAAGTTCAACAATTGGACTGTAGTATTCATAAAGGCTATGAAAAGGGTTAATCTGGCTGTTACCTTTATGTATACTCCTTGAAGGCTAGAAACAATCAGGTCAGCTGCGTTTAATATACTGTAAATGATAAAATTTTTAAAACCTTGCATGTAGTGTATATGGTGTTTTGTATCCTAAAGCTAGTGCAGTACCTGCTGAGACATTTTACTACCAGCAGCACACTACACAAGACACAAGTAAATAAGGTGGAGTTAGGAGGAGTTAACTACTGCATCAGGACTAGCAGCAAAGCTTTCAAATAGAGCTGGGATCTTTAATAATAGTATAGCAACAGAATTGGTAAAAAAACATCCACAATAATCCAATAATAATAAAAGTCCACAATAATCCATTAAACCACTATATTCCCCTCTTAAGGGTGTTGGTACTAAAGTGTTGTGTAGATGCTTTTCTCAAAATAAAACATGCTTTATACACAAACATAATTCAGTAGCAATCATGTTTTCATCATTTGAAGGGTTGAAGGGTTAGTTTAATATGTTAATATGTTTTAGATTACAATGAAGAGGAATGAAAAAAGAATAATTTTGCAGGCCATTAAAACATTTTGCTTTGTAAGTGCTTAAGTCAGAGATCTCTAGTAGATTTTATGCACTTTCCACTTTCATTTTAATAACTTCTAATAAACACCTAACAGGTTTTGGTTCTTTATGCTTACTAGTCATGTTCTTTGAGAAAAATGTTTATATACTTCAAATTAAATCAAACCAAATTTTTCAAACCTATTACAAAGAGGCAGCCACAATTATTTTGTTGATTTACACTGTACCCCATCTTGTGTTGCAGATATTTTACTTTAGTACTTTAGCGGTGTACATTACATTTTTATCTGAGGTTTTAATAAGCTTTAAAGGAAAATATAGACAGATCTGCAATATTTATATCAAATTAAGTTAATTTAACAGAAAACAAGAGCCTAATTTAACACTTGTTAAAAGTAAATTTTGTGTGAACACAAGGAAACACTTCAAAGCAGTGATATTTCAGAACAAAGGCTGCCATTGTGATAGAATCGTTTAGCGTATTGGAAACTGATAAGCACTGAAGGGCTGAATGGCCTGTTCTCATTATTAACATGTTCTTATGTATCACCTATCTTCACTAGATGCCTGCTCATTAGAAGCAGCTTTCTTGGAATACTGTAAAATGTAATACTTCAATCCCATCAAATTTTGAATTCCCAAGCATAGGATTAAGTAGGTTAATTTGTATATGCCCAAAGATACCCTACCAAGAATGACTGTTTAGCACCAATATATGGTTCACCAAACCTCAGAATATGTATTTATAAAGTATTATTAGAAATGTTTTGTCTAGGAAGTATGAAGCTCATGTTAAAATTAGCATACTCTCTTTTTTTACAGTGTGAACGCTGCATGCCCCTTTTCAATGATAAATCTTTTCGACCAGGAGACCAACTACAAGCTTATAATTGTAAACCATGCCAGTGCTACAACCATGCAAACTCTTGCCATTATGACCCATCTGTGGATGCCTTTGCTGGTGATCATTTCCGAGGCGGTGGTGGAGTGTGTGACAGCTGCCAGCATAACACTACAGGTAAAGAACTGGACTCTCCTCCACACCAACAAGAATTTAATATTCTGTTTCTGTCAGATTTATAAAGATCCAAGTGCATTGCAAATGCCATGGTTATAGTTTGTCTTCCCCTTTAAATTCCCCATTTAATCTCATGGATTAATTCTAAAATTGCGAGTCACGTTCATTCAAGGTAATGCATGTGCTTAGATTAGGAATTTAATAGATAGGAAACGGCGAGCACAGATCAGAGTTAAATTGGGCTGATGCAATTAGTATACTATTGCTCTTCTTAATTTGTATCAGTTATCTAGTTTCTTTCTTCATAGTTCACAGTTACTATACAAGTCTTATTCACAGATATTAAAATAGGAGGATTAGCAAGCAATGTGGAAGCTACAAAAGAAATTGAAAATAATTTAAGATTGGGTAAAAATATTGTAGTTCATATTTTTTGATCAATTGTTGATTTTGGCAGCAAACAAATGCAACATATCCATACAAATGTAAGGATAAAGTAAATGACATTTAATTTAATGGCAGTGAATTAAGATTATTCCTCTCTTGCAGTAAAAATATACAAATAAGATGAGAAAAGGTTTTACAGTACGTAAAAGATTTAATTGTCAATGTTAACACATTATTATTATCTTCAAGACACCATGGGAAGCAATAAAAATGGCAAACAAAATGGTAGTATATTGAAAGAAAATGGCAGGTTCAGACTAAAGTTACATTCTCCAGGACGCTGTCAGGAATGACCTGTCACCCTCGGTCTCTTGACTAATTGAAAGAAGAAAATTGGTCAGATGACATTTTATAATCCAGAAAAACAGACACTTCTGGGGGCCTACATCTCTGCTGTATTGGGTTTTACATTGTATTGTCTATGGTGCCTGACTATGTCATATAAATTAAGAAAACCAAGCCAAGCTACTGTAGATTGGCTGAGTAGCCTCCTTTCATTTGTGACCCTTCTTAAAAATAAGAAAGATAAGTAAAAATACTTAGAGTACTTTTGAACTATAGAACAGAATAAAAAAATCAGGAACAAAAGGTACACTTTTATTCTCTTTTACATTTGAAGTCCTTGTAGCATGCTCAGATTAGGATTTGGCCTACTAGAATCATACTACAATGCCTTAAAGGTTTGAAGGTACCTTGAAACACAAATGAAAATCGACAATTTACATACCAAGATTACTATTCAATAGCCTCTGTTTCTTTTGTAAGATTCCGAATTATGTAAAAGTGAAATTTAATCTCCAATTTTGACTTACATGTAATTTCTTTGGCAAACATACAATATATTCCAAATAAAGAACATAACTGGCTAAGAGTCCCTGCAAATGTTAAGGTATTAGTAGGTGTATTAGTTAAGACACCTATTATTAGTGATCCATGAATCACTCAAAATTACACTACTATAATAATGATAACGTTTTCCAGACAATGGTGGCATGGTGGCTCGCAGATTAATGTGGCTGCCTACATTGGTATATAACAGTATTTGTTAACCTTTTTAAGAATGTTTGAGATCATAATCTTTTATATAAGGTTGATTGTGTATATCAACAAGAGATTGTTTTGTCATGTAAAAATATAAATGTTTGAATGTATATTCTCTTTTACAATCATTATTATACTTTTGTTCTGTTTATCACTAGTATCATTGATTGACAAGTAAAATTTCCTTTATTATGACCAAGAATGACTTGCATTATTTACAAGCTACATTGAAAAACAAGTAATTGATTTCCCAAACAAAGATTGCATTGTTTTTTAGATTTTTAAAAGTATGTTCAAAATAAAGGAGAAAAGTTATGTTTGACAGACATGTATGGTTATCCATATGATGTGGCTTTGCTGAAATATGGCATTATTGAATAACAGATGGAAGTTTAATGAAGTAAAGCAAAATCTGTAACAGGTTCATTGTTTCATATGCTCAGCATCAGTACAGTGGCAGGTAGGGATGAAAGGGGACATTAAAATGGACATCTTGAAAATTACAAATTTCTCACAGGAACTCTCGGGAGAGGGCAGCTTTTAATTTTAAATTATAGCCCTAATATGATTGAATTTTAATCAGTTAACATTGATCTTTCTTTTTTTTCATTGTTGAAGGAAGAAACTGTGATTTGTGCAAGGATTTTTTCTTCAGGGAAGTCAATGCCTCTCTTTTTGCGGTGGATGTGTGCAGACCCTGTGACTGTGATGAATCAGGCACCATTAATGGCAGTCTGCTCTGCAGTGGGGTGCGTATTTCTTTGTTAAACTAAAATACACTGTTTGTGTGGAACTCAGATGTCATATTTTAGTTGAAGACAACTTCGTTAATGATTTATGTCACAGCATTACGTAACTCTTGCCATTTTAAGGTTACATGGCTTAGTCTCGCCACAAACCTCAGTTGCTGATGGTTTTGATGTTACTGAGTTAATGCATGTAATAAATAGAACTTTAGGTATGTGTCATTTAATGGGTTCATAAACCATGTTTTTTTGTTGGTTATAAATATCATTTGGCTTAATTTTATGTAAGTTTACCAATGAAAAGTAGTTTAGAAACAAAATAATTCATTAGTATTTCACAGATGTTGATGCTGAATAATTCTAATTAATATTAGGCACATAATAGGAATGAATTGTCCTTATTATTTAAGCCCATTTGCTTTTTGGCAAAGAAGCTGTATTGCTATTTTGCTTAAATGCTATGAGAAGACAATGTTACACTGTTTGTAACAGAACGACAAGCTTAACTCACTTCACACCTTTACCAAATGGCTATGATGTGAATGTTATCAAATGGGATAGTAAAATATTAGATTTCCTTCTGCTCATTTTTCACATTCTAGAGTAAATATATACAGTATGTGTAAATATTTTATATGGTTAAGTTTATAATATACAGTATACTGTTTACTTGTATATAATATATACAGATGCAGCCATTCAAACGCCGCGGTACAAACCTGTACCGATTGCAACTACCCACAAGCCACTGCGGCATACCGCGGTACGTGATTGGTTGGCCAAAATAACCGACAGGGGCACTTGTGGTGCATTGGTCGGTACTGAAAAGCTGAGCATAAAAAGAGGAGCATAGCGCGTCTGATGATCATAAACGATATTAATTTAAGAACATAAACATATTATGTAAACTGTATATTGCTGGTCTTGGTAATTTAAAGAAAAAATACACACCAGTATTCCATTTCTCCCTAAATGTTTACATGTGGTTATTTCGGAAACGTTTTTACGTGCTCCTTCTGACCATATTACTGTACGTTTATATACTTTGTGAAAAGTGATCGTTTTAACCTTTTCTGTGAATATGCTCGTTATTGGAATAAACAAAAGCATACTTTTAGAATTTGATTAATAGGAAATATCATATGGAATCGCGTATCTGAAGAAATTAATAACGATATAAGTATATTCATGTAATGTTGCACAAATATGTGTACTTCTGTTTCACTATTTAGTGGATGACTGCGTCTGTGTCGTGATGGCTTAAATGACTAACTTATAAGGCTGAAGTTGGGTGTTCAAATCCAGCTATCGCCGTGAATAAACATTTGTTTGAAAAATTAAAATTGCAAATATTATGGACACTATATTGACATTTTTTATATTTCTAAATTTCACAACATGTTCGTACTGTATGTACACATTGGTACCACAGGGTGTAGGGTACAAACCCACATGAGCCCGAAAGCCCTACATTAATGTAGCGCATTCGCCCGGTGCTGCGGCTGAAGAGTGCCCAGCTAGGGTACACAGTGAGGGGCAGGACAGGAGTGCTAGTGGTCAGGGTGGGGATTAGGAAAGCCACTGACCAGTGCAGCTGAACCACTGTGATACAAGCGTACAGTCTGGGGAGATCGCCAGTTTTCGTGTAAATAGTTCCCTGGTTCCGCACCCCTGTGTGCGCTCCCCCTCTCTCTCTCGGCTAGGTGGGGCAGTGCTGGCTGGCTGGTTGTGCTGAATTTCCAGCACCAGCCATATACAGTACAGTTCACATATAGTAATATGTTTATGTTCCTAAATTAATATATTTTATGAGCATGTGAAAGGCATGGTGAGTCAGAATTCCTCAAGACTTACTTTGTATGATTGGAAACGAACGCATGATCGGATCAACGAAGTGCTGTGGTGTTACTTTTTGTCAATGTTACTTTTTGTTTAAAAAGACAGTTACAAATAATGTGGACCAGGGTAATACTTTGAGTTTACAGCTTGTCCAAGGTCATTCATTATTAATACTATTAGTAATATTATTAAATTATGATAAAGGTGGTAAGTTGTGTACTTTTGTCCAACTGAGCAATCTTGCTTTCATAAAATATACCAACTTTTTAATGTATAATGATTAACATGCTGTAATACACAGTTTAAATTTAAAAGTCTAAAGAGTATACAACTTAAATTCTTAATTGAATAAAGATTGTCCCTCAGCAGTGATCGGGATTCGAAACCAGGTGTTTTCTGGTCACAACTCAAATGCTGTACATGAGAGGTTAAGCTTTATTAGCTCCACCTGGCGGTTTTACAAGGGGATTCTGGATGCTATTAACATAATCTAATTTGCATATGGTAAAATAGAGTATGACGCGAAATCCGCAATATGACATGTTTTGATGCGACACGCCCACCGCGTAGTACCTGTCTTGTGAAATTTTCTTATTTATTGTTGTTGTCATCCTGTAAAGCGCTTTGAGAAGCCACCTTTAAAGGCGCTATATAAAATAAAGTTTATTATTATTATATTACCACAGCGTATCCAGCTCATTTTGAATGGCTGCATCTGTACTTCAGTGTATACTGTCAATATAATAAAGATTATACTTAGTTTCTCTGTTAAAATGTAGTGATTAATGTAGCATGTTGCTGCTATTCTGTTTACATTTTCTTGTAGAAAAAAACTGCAGTTTATTTTTTCCACCCACCAAGTTTGATGAAAATGTTTGATAAAAATGTTTTTTTTTTAATGAGGGATGCACAAGAGTGCCTGAGCTGATAAAAACCTCTGTGTGGAAATCAGAGTGAGTCCTATAGCCTATAGTTCATATCCAGACTGTGACATTTTCGAATTATGAACTTGATTTCACAGTGGCTGTGTTACTGTGTGTAATTAGTAAGACTCAGTTTTTGTTTATCTGTGTTATAACAAGTTTTGATGTGATGGGGGTTCTTAATTAGAACATAACAGAAACCTATTAATCACAGTCAGATTGAATTGCCTTTTGCTTTAGTGCTTGAATAAGTCTTCTTAGTGATGAAGATGCACAGTCAAAAAGCATTCCAATTCATTTATTAACAAGGTTATTGTGTGGGGTTATAACAAAGCCACTCCAATGTATTAATTTTTCTTACTTTGTTTTTATAACTTGAACACAAGGCAATATCATATTTTAAAGATGTTGCATTCAGCTGCTTCCTTAAGTAAAAGAGATCTAGATAGAGCTATGTTGAAAACATCTCCTTTCTATTTTAAAAGAAACTGCTATGATAGAGAATGTAGAAATTTAATTACAGTGCTTTAACATATTTTAAGGCAGGTAGACTGACAAAAAACTGTAGAAACAGTGGGCCTTGACACAGCTTGTGCAAGTTTTCAAAGAAGAAAATTGTGGAAATTAAAAAAGAGGGTTAGAAATGCATCATTCCATTCAAAGCTGGTAGACATATATCCAAAAGCTTCACAGTAAAATAATAAAGGGCACAAAAATGGAAAGCACCATGCTTTCCTAATTTCTGTTCATGCTAGGGTTAGAATGGCCAAAATCCTTAAAGGTACTGTTTCTAGTTATCTTAGCTACAGTACATGTATATGGTAAATGCTTTAGATCATATCAATGTTAGTTATGTTCTATATAATGTTTTGTTACACAACTGCATTTCCAGTAATTATACTTATGCTAATGATCTTTGTGTATTGGATATCCTCTTTTTACAGGTTCCCTGTTTTATTAATTAACCATTCTTTAACCAAATGCATATACTAGTCCTGATTGATTCAAGTTTAACAACTAACTTTTCATGTGTCCCTTTTCCTTCTGGGAATATAGACAAATGTCAAAGGCTATGCTTTTATTCATCATAGGGGTTGAATTTTCCAGTAGATTGATTAAACACAGTCTTCCTAATGAGATGTTTCTCAAAATCAATATAAACACATGAAGGCTCATATTTACTGTATGTAACTTATTTTTTTGTACTGACTTTCTATTTAACATTAACATTCCATTTAGTATCTTTTGATCTTTTAAATATAAGGATAGGCTCTGGCTCCCCTGTGACCCTGAATTGGAAGAAGCAGATAGAAAATGGAAGGATTTCACAAATAATGTGCCCCTTCAGAAACTGTATTACAACACTGTTTATCCATGATTTGGCCATGATATATTATGATATAGACAAAACTACAGTGCCACAGTAAATCTTAGAATGGTAATGTACTGTAGGTAACGCCTTGATCATTCTACTTAAATAAGTCTTGTCTATTCAACATTTCATGGTAATTTTCTAAATCCAGAGTAAAATAATAGAGTATATCATAATCATTTTCTGTATTCTGAACTATTTTCATCAGATGCAAATGTGATATACTATGATACAATTTGTAGAACGATAGTACACTGGTGATAACTACTTATGTTAGCAGCAGAGCACATATTACCATAGTAAACCCAACTTAAAAAAGTATTGTATTTGTGTATATGATATAATTCTCCTAACTGAGGGACTGGCAGCCCAGTCATGAGGTTCAGGCTGCCAACACCCCTATTGTGAAGCAACTAGGGAGTTGTTGCAAAGGTTACATGGGGTGGAAGGGAGGAACACGAGAGAGATGCATGACAGGAAATCCTTGCTTCAAGATTTATATATACAGTATAGGCAAGCAGAAGTGTGTAAGGTTAGGATCTCACCTTCCTCCTGTACATCTGCCTGTAATTTTCATTCTTTTTATTCCATTTTGGCAGTTGTTGTTTAAATTGGTTTAGCGTTCCTTCTCTCTCTGTCTGCTTTCATAATATCTTCTAGGTTGTTAGATCTGAATTCACTTGCAACTACTACAAAACCCCCTTTCAGCAAACCATGATGTAATGAAAGCACCCATGCTTTGTCCATCTTCTGCAACTACAGGTTGACGTTAGGCAGATAGTACCTTTAGAAGGTGCATGTAAGCTGTAATATTCTGAATGTGAGAGCACCTGATTTCTAATGAGTTACAAATTACAGCGTGTAATGATATAGTTATTAAAATGTGCTTTATCCTCTTAAAATGATCCAGATTGCACTGATATAGAATAAAACCTTTATCTTTTTTACAATGCATAGTTTCACTAATTGATCTTGCAATTTTTTTTTCTTTCTAGATTGGAGGGCAGTGTAAGTGTAAGCGACATGTGTCTGGCAGAGAATGCAATCAGTGCCAGCATGGATTCTATAATCTACAATCCTTGGACCCTGATGGCTGCAGCCCTTGTAACTGCAATACCTCTGGGACTGTCAAAGGAGATATTACCTGTCACCAAAATTCAGGTCAATGCCAGTGCAAGGCAAATGTAATTGGTACGTAACAAGCAAGGCTGCTTTTTTTGTCTGGCTTGGCACAACAGAGATAAAGATACAAAAAATGCCTAAAAAGATGCAATTTAAGACATTTTAGTGCAAGCTTTCTGTATTTTAGAGGTGTTACATTTCAGTGGTTTACTATTAAACACAGTATAATAAGGAGCTAGGTTTTACTGTATATATATATATCACTTGAAATTTTATTTTTTTACATGTGTTCTATGACTAAATGATTTGATTAATTTACACATTGCAATGCTTTTTAAAAGATATGAACAAAATTACATTGCCAAAGATCTGTAGTATGGAAAAACATGATTAAATTGTTCAGTACCTAAAGCCTTCCTGGCGAATCTGTCTGTTTTATATTAATTTTATTACTAGGCTCAGCCAAATGGATTTTTTCAGAGGTTTTCCATGCTTCTCAGGTCCTTTGTGATAAATCTGTTCCAATTTTTTTATACGCCTTTGAACTGTTTCTTATGAAATGCAAACGAATGGTACTCCGAAGATCATGTATATTGCTAAGTCTGGTTATCAAGGGCCACATAATTTTAATTTTGTAATTCAATGCCAAGTTGATTATAATAAACTACCCCTTTCTCTGTTATTTATCATGCTTTTTACAAGACTCGCTTTTTTGTTTGTTGCTCCCACAGGTATTTTTCAGAAATTAGATTTGATTATAGCAATTTATTACCTCCAGCATGTTTGAGGGGAACAGCAGCTTCATAAGGACAAAATTTATCAAGTGCCCAAAATACACTGTGTACATAATGCACTTTGAAATTTTGATATATGGGAATATTATACAGGGAACATTACTGATAAAGTGAGAACTGCATTGTTGCGAAGCCTATGTCCCAGTCCATACATATGGATACATACACTTATACATTTTCATTTACATATGATTTGATAGTAAACACCATTAACACTGCTGACCCAGATTATGGATACTTTCACTTTTCTTTAATAATGCAGTGCTTTAGTAACTAAGATGTCCTAGGTTTCAATATCTTCCGAAATAAGTCTAAACTTACAGTTAGAATTTTACAGTTTAGAAAAAAAATGTTTAAATAATTTTCATTAGATCATATATTCATGGAAAAAATCTTTAAATCAATTCCTTTTTTATCTGTCCTTGATCATGAGTGGGTGGGAGTCACTTTAAGGATAGATAAGGATAAGAATATCAAAGGATAAATCAATGCCAGCATATATTATTGTTAAGCCTTTTGCACATTTGGAAAAATCTGTATCCTTCCACAAGTGTCTCTAACATTTTGCTAAGAACCACATAATAATCTGTGGTCTGATGTTTGAGGAAGATACTTAACTATAAAGTATATAAATATACTGTAAGATTTCGAACACATTTGTTTTTTTTTTCTCTCATTGCTATTGCTTGCACACATACTGTACTATATATTTTATTAATAATATCAAAGTTTTTTTTTCCCAGGTACTTTACTCTTTCTATTCTAAAATGCTTTCTCCATTTGGCATATGGAAATCCTGGGAGAGCTGGTTTCAAAATAGATTATATGTGTTGACAGTATTTTATCCAATCAGTTTTTAGACGTGAAACCTGCAGATACAGCAAACATTTACCACTCTACTTCCTTTCTTTGCTGTTGTCTGAACTGTGCTTACCTTTTTTTCTTTTTATGCCTTCTTTGCAAGTAATGCAAACTCATGATAATGAAAACAAAATTACTGCCCTACCTGCTTATGCAATCAGGAACAGATGCCTTAACAATGACATCACGTAACTTGTGATACCTCTGTCTTTATAGATGGTCGAAAATACCTCTGTAACAACATAAATGTGCTGTGTGAATGAGGTTCTTTTGGAGAATTTGTGGAAACATTTCTGAAACTGTACTGATACTAGCATTTCTCTGCTAAAATGGCTGCATTATCACACTCAACTGATGACTATTATCACATATTGTAGTTTAGTATGTAGTATTTCATATGAAAAAGCATTCAAAACAAACATATATACAGTATATATATCATGAAAATATAAATTGTATATCTCCAGATTTAATTTGATTAATAAATGCAATGAAGTGTGTTGAATAACAAAAAAATGTATCTGTAGAAGATAGATGTAGTAGGAGCCCATTTATCTATCTGCCTCTAATCAGTTACAGTACATAATTTATGCACTGACATATTTTTAAACTATATACGTGTATATATGCCTTCCTGTAAAGTATTAATTATTTTTTTATGGCTGAAATCACGGTAAATTTGATCATTGATTTGGAGAAAGATTTAATTTTTTTGTAATTTATATTGGTACAGCTGTAAGAGACTGTTTTATTAGAAATATTGTCAAATAACACTTTAAAACATCTTGTGATGCTTTTACCTGCTTTTGATGAGATACCTACAGTATGTAATGATGTAGGGGTGGTCTCCCATGTCATTGGGGAGTCAAAACCCAGCAGATTTTATGGGCCAGTTTTTAAATAATGAATTTCTAAACACTTGAGAAAGTTTTGTTTAGACAATTGGGCTAGGTAATTTCTTCAATTGAGTAGTTTGGAGATCATTTGAAATTAATGCAGAAGCTTTCAAGAACCACATTCCTGACTTAATCAGATCATTTTCTGTAATTCGCTAGGATGTAACTCATGTACTCCAAGTCTTTACAAATTGAAGATTTAAGGGTGACGTGTAAGACCTACTGGACCTGTGGTTATCCAGGACAAGGGTTGATCACCTCTGTAATAATTTATATTATAAGTGTAATATAATAAGTACTTCTACTATTAAGATAACCCTACCTATTTCACTTACTGTGAATTGCAGAGACAATTTAATTCAGATTGTTACAACCTTATTTGTTGTTGGTGTTGACTCTGAATCTCAGGTTTAAAAAAACGTATTTAAACTGTTTTTAATATCTTTTAATAGGTTTATATCCATTTAAGTGATACTCATTGGCATCAATTATTTAGAATGAAATTCTCGAAATAACAATGTTGCAAAAAAGGGAATGTAGTGAGAAAATAATTGATAGCACCCATCCTTGGTGAAAAGACATACAAATTATAAAAAGGATACTTTGGAATTCATACAGTAATTAGGGATATGGTAAACCTGTCATGATTAAGTATACAGTAAGGCTCAATACCTCACAGCACCTATGTCACCAGAACATGGTGACATAGGTGCTGTGAGGTATTGAGCATGCTTGAAGTAATAAATGTATTTGAATTTGTTTACCCCTTTTAAAAATAAGAAATATATGTTTAAACATGAAAAAGGTGGGGATTGGAGCTGTAGGTAAATAGCAATAATTAATTCTACAAGTTAAAACATTGTTATGATGAAATTTCAAATGATGCTGGCAAAAAAGTATGCTGTGTAGAAATATCTGTAAATTCATAAAATAAGGCCTTTGAAATTCAATAAAAAGGAGGAGGAATGTGCTGTAAATGCCAAATGCACTAAGTTCTCTGTACTTGTTAACGTTAAATGTGATGCCCTCTAGGCTTTGCTCAGTAACATTAGGAATAGATTACCTGTCAGGAATATGTATGGCATATTCAAATAAGTACTATGCATATTTTTAAAACTTGATATGATATGAATCCATGTAGACCTGTTTTAATAGTTTAAAATGAGCTGTAATTCTTTTCAACCTCACAGTTATTTTTACATTTTGCCGCCTTTCATGTACTATTTAATTTATTTATTTTTCTTAGGGAAATTAAATGTTATGCCTGAGGTTAGTCATCCATCAATGTAAAAGGACCTTGCCTAATGTTGAAATTTGCAGTTTTTTTCTCTTTTTCTTGCTTTATATTTTACTTATTTGATTATTTAGGTATATATTGTACTTAATAGAAGTCACTGTTGTTTCTGTTGTTAATACAGACAAAACAGATACCAGTTACTGTATTAACTGTACATAATCTTGACAGCAGCAATCTCAATTACATCATATATATTAAATAGACCACCAGATTTAGGAAGACCACATTTTTTCCTGGAACCATATAATAGTGCTGCCATTTGACTAATGTAAGGTGTACAGTATATACTGTGTATAGGCTGTGTGGATTCAATTCAGTGTGTTTATGTCCCAGAATATGTATCTGTGAGAGTGGCTTAGTGGTTTGCCTTTACAGGGTGTGGTTACTCTGCTTGTGAGACAATGGAACTCATTTACAATAATATATTAAAATCACGGCATATTGTAGCTGTGATGCCCTGGCTGTTTTTACTGTGGATCGAGAGAGATTTGGGTACGTTAATGGTCAAAAATGGCAATTTGCATGAAAATTCACTTTTTGCTGATACATCAAGATCCTTCCAGACAGACTTCTGTTTCATCTGTCCAATGAGGACAGGTCTTTAATGAGAAGACAGATGCCTGGTCTTTTGTACAAAGAAATTCAAGGTAATTCTGCCTTTCTGGTCTTCAAACAATACGAGACCATTCAGCCCATTTAGCCCACATGGTAGATAATACAAAGATATCATCCACTGTATGTCAGTAACAGGTTGGAAATCCTTGTATTCGGCCCATCTCTAGCTTATTTGGTAGTCAGTACCTAATTGATTCAACAATCTCATCAAAAACAAAAAGCCAGGGTATCAGCTTCAAAAACATTGAAGGTTATCCTCTTCAATGCTCACACAACCCACTGGGTAAATAAGTGCTTCCCGTTCTCTGTTTTAAATGCATTTTCATATACTGTAGTTTCCATTTGTGTCCTCTGGTTTGTGATTCACTTTTTATTCTGACAAAGCCCACTGTGTTCATTTTGTGAATACCATTGAGGATTTTGAATACTTGTTTGAGATCTCCTCTTAGACATCTCTACAACTTATCTGACATGACCCACACATTGTGCAAGCAATTTGATTAAATTGTATTAAATTGGCACCGTAGGAAATCATTGACATAGCGCAAGTGATATGTTCAATGACATAATAAACAAGTTTCTTTTTTGCTCTTGGGATTTTTTACTTATGCCTCGTCTCTTCAGGATTGCCCTCAAAGGCATTGCTTGTTTGCTACAAATTATGTTGTAAAAAGTACTGCAGTATTAAATATAACATTAATAGAACTGTTAGCTTACTGAAGATAAAAAGATGATCCTATCACTACTATGACTTCTAATGCTAAGAGTAATACCGTTACTACTAAAATTAGTTGTTTTCTACTATCCGATTCTTTATAAGAATCCTGATCTAATGGAGGGTGGACTGCACGGTGGTAGAATCAGTGCTGTTCAGGGAGTTATCTGTAAAAATATTGGTTTAAGAAAGGCAGCACTGTCCATACATAAATTATAAGAGCTAGAACAGTGTTTTGAGTTTGCAGTGTAGAGTATGTTAAAAATATAGTTACAGTGAGTGGTCAGAACAGTGTGTAAATCCATACAGTAAATTGCAGTGAAAAAAACAAAGCCCCATTAACAACGAATGCTATCCTATGCTCTGAAACTCAAATTCATGCAGTTTTGTCTACTTGTTCATTCTAGTTTAATTAGCTAGATAAGTCCTCACCTTATCCACTATACTGTATATAGAGCTGATCAAGAACAGCTACTGTGAACATCCCATCGTATATTGTACTTCAGTGGTGAGTATTGTGTAATACGATCCTGCAGTTCAAATAATGTTCTTACAGTAACATTATTTCAGTAATCTTACTCTGTTTTCATAAAATTTATTTACAGAAACGATTATAATTATATACAGTATTAAAAAATGTAAGGTACTCTACTGTAACAATCAAATCCTTAGTTAAGTATTAATCTGTGGATCTGAGGGTCTGTGTGATAATGGGAAATGTGTTATGAAACCTAAAATTGTATCTATATTCAATGGTTCTAGCTTCTACAACTGATGTTTTTTTTTTAGAACAATGTAAAGTTATTATCATGGTATCTAATATCATTCATCTACTTTTATTTTTACAACATGCCAAATGGTGTAGCTCAGTCCAAAGACGTTTAAAGCAGAAGGGTGATCGTCTGAGATTCCAAGTGTAAATCTCTATTAGAGAATAAATAGCATCACCTAACTTCTCCTTTTCATTTATATTGTTCCCTTTTTTGTAGGTCTTTTCTGTGATCGCTGCAAATATGGCTTTAAATTCCTGAATGCTGCAAATCACGATGGATGTGAACCATGTAGCTGTAAGAGAAACAGCTCCCTTCACCAATTTTGCAACCCATTCAGTGGCCAGTGTGAATGCAAATCCAGAGTCAGTGGGCTACAGTGTGACACCTGCACTGAGAACTTCTATGGATTGAACACTACTGGAACCTGCTTGCCATGCAACTGTAATCCATTTGGGACTGTTCTTGGTACCATTTGCAATCCCTGGACAGGCCAGTGTGTCTGTAAACCCCACGTAGTGGGACGGCAGTGTGATACCTGCCTGGATGGCTACCATAGCTTGCATCAGGGTGGTTCTTTAGGTTGTTTACCTTGTGACTGTGAAACAAACGGGACAGTTAATGGGTCTTCTGTTTGTGACAAGTTAATTGGCCAGTGTCCATGTAAAACAAGCGTCCAAGGCCTGAGGTGCACCCAGTGTGCTCCACACTCCTATAATCTCACTGCTGCCAACCAAGATGCTGGCTGTCAACAGTGTGAGTGTGAACCCATGGGGACTGTGGCCAGGACAGTGTGCGACCCAGTAAGTGGACAATGTGTGTGCCTGCCCACTCGACAAGGTAGAAACTGTAATGCCTGTAAGTCAGGTAAGTACACACAATTCAATGTCTATTTGTGTGGATAATATTTTGTATGTGATGTTTTTAGATTTGTCAAATTTAAGACAGATAAGGTAGCATCGTAAATGTTCATGGTAGTTTTGATATTTGATATCTTATTTCCCATATGTAGGACAAAGAGCTGAGGAGGTCTTTTGGATAAGACATTAAACTAAGGTCCTGACTGTCTAAGTAGTAGTCATTGAAAGATCCCATGGCACTGTGATTAAGTGTAGGTTCATGTATTGTCCCCCATGTCCTGGCTGAATTCTGCTGGTACATTCTGATCTGGCCAACCTAATTTCCCCTCTTTATTCAAGCAATTTCAGATTGTGATCTGACAGAGGGCCTGTTGGCACATAATGTCTTTATTTCATTATGCAAATTAAATTTATTATTTTAGCTTTGCTCTTCAGTGGTTTTACCACACGTAAACTGTAAACTGTGCTTTACTTAAACTCTAATGTAGTAAACTTTCATACAGTAAGAGACTATATAGGGCAGAGCCTCTATAACCATTTTTATTATAATGTGATGGTACTAATGGTAACAGTTTAAATTAGGGGTTACAAATGACATTACCGAACACTTTAAGAGATACATTTCTAAATTATTAATAGAGTGACATAAATATAAATGTATAACATATATATATACAGTAACATATAATATAATGCCATTCAAGTCTTGTTGACCCCATTCCTAAATTACTCATGTAAGAGGTATTGGTGTAAACACACTTTGTTTTTGCAGAAACATCTTATACAGTTCTCTTCAACGCTTTGTTAGACGTTTATTAGGATGAGGTTTTTATTACTTTATTTAAAATGAAGTATGTTGCTCAAGGATGCAATAGTGATCTATCTGGTATTTGAACCACCAGCCCTGTAGCTGGGAGTGTAGAAGTCACTGCTCCACATTGCTGCTTTGGCTATGTAATGAAGGAAAGGAATGTTACAATGATATTCACTCCTAGTACTGGAGAGCCACAGAATACCAGTTTTTATACAGTATGTTTCTTACAATCCTCAATGGGAAGCATCTGGAAAAAATGGAAATAAAAACCAATTAAGTGAACATTTGATTCAAATCCAAGGCATTAAGAAGTTTATTAAGAGTCCATGGTGGAATGAAAACGCTGAAGTGCATATGAGTGAAATATTCAGAGTAATTGTAAAGGTCAAAATGATGCTTATATTATCTATCCTGATCTTGTCAAATTTCAGAAGCTAAGTAAGCTTGAGCCTAGTCAGTACTAAGTTTGCTTCTGTTGCCACTTCCCAAACCAGTGCCCCAGTATGGTGCCAAGGAATACTGTGGTTTGAGAGGTTCAGCCATTTGAATAAGATGTTAAACTGAGGTTAAGATTAATTATGGTCAATAAAGATCTCATGATACTGTCATTCAGGTATAAGTGTTAACTCTGTTTTTTTAAGCTAAATTACTCTCTGGTCTTGTACACTATTGCCTACCTATTTTTTAATTAGTTCATTTGGCTCAGTGATTTCTCAAACTGGTTTTCTGTTTCCTGGGTTGCTGGTTCATAATGGATGTCTTGCATTATTCGGGTGTGTACTTTTTCAGAGGTCCTCCTTTACATTTTCTGTCACAAGTATTTTGCTGGCTTTCATGTGTTGTTTGAGAGGAGGTGTTGATAACATCAGTCACGTTAAATTGCCCCATTCTTCAGTGAAAGAAAATATTTGTGTTTATACTCTACAATATGAATGCTGGTTCTTATGCATTTCACGTACTATACAGTATAAGTTGAAAGGTAAAATAAAGCACCACTTGTTAAACATTAACGTTACACTCAATATACCCAAAATACCCAAAGTAAGGTGCAAGACAATGAATCATGAGGTCTGATTTTGGATGCTACAAACTAGAGATGGAAGGGTGAAATCCACATCCTTTTAATTTCATTAAATATTAGTGAAGCACTTGTAGGCTTAGTTTTTTTTGGTTAATTAAATGTGTAATATACCATCATTTGACTTCCCATACCACAGGTTGTACCTGTTTTTACCTGTTTTATGTGTTTTAGGTGAGATCAAATTTATTTGACATTGAGATCTCAGTTTTAACAAACAGTAGGTTGATTGTATTGTGAATAAAATGGACAACCTTAAAATATATTGAATGCCATTCTAGCTAGGATGATGACAAAATGCTGCCCGAAAACACCTTCAACCTGTTTCAATAGACAGTGTGTGTATCTTCAACAGCAGGAGACCTCAAGTAATAAAAATATAATTATTTCATGTTATGAACATATTCTGCCTTGCACCCATTGCTTGCCTGGATAGGCTTTGTTTACCCCATGACCCTATGTATATATGCATAAAGCAATTAAAAAATGGATGGATGTTATTCACGTATTAGTTGAAACATGTCCGACTCTCTAGATCTAGATCTAGATTACCCTTGTGTTAGTATTTGTTTTTGTTTCATACAGATACATTTTCCAGGTAAAGCATAAAAAGCCTTTCTTTATACATAACTGTTTAGTCCTAAACAGTGTCCTAAATATTGTCTACAGTATATTAATAAAGTTTATATATGGTATGTGAGAAATTGTACTTTTCTGGTTTATCATTCATTCATTTTAGAAACCAGAATATTTGCAAAGCTCATTATTTGAAAAACATTATTTTCTTTTTTTAGTTTTGTTTTTTTTTTAATGTTTTTAAGTTGTCACTTAAAGGAATGTGCATTTGGCACCTTGCCTTTGCTAAGTCAGTAGTCTGGCTCAGCTGCCAACTGTCCTTCTATAATCTCCTGCCAGCTCGCCCATCAGGCTGGCAGTAAGCTCTGACTCCGCTAAACCTCTAGAAAACTTTGTCACCTGATGGACAAGGGTGAATGACCCAAGGACTACCACCACCAACACCTGGTAGGCTCACATTCTGAGAATGTCTGTTCTCACAGGGCCAGTTTCCAATCTTAACCCAGCTAGCTGTATTTTGATGTGAGCTGGCAGTGGATGACTGGGGTCATTTTGCTGGCACACCTGTTCCCTCATTCAAAAGCACCAGCTGTTGCTTTGTACTAGGACTTAATGGAGTTTAGTAATCATGATCCTTTTATTTACTGTAAGTAAAAACACCAACAAAGTAAAGTATCTTTGAAGTCAGCCTGGATTGCCTAAAATAAGTGTTTTGTGTCCATAAATTTGCTAACTTCAGATTATTCTCAGTAGATAACTAGAGTGTAACAACAATCAAAGCACCCATCATCAATCTGATCAGTCATCCTTAGTTGGATTTCATCATTTAAAGACGTACAGTACATCTCTTAATGGTGATGGCCAGCATAATATTTATCCTTACTTCTTCAATGTGTGGTACTAAAAGCTGCAAATATTCGAATGTATTGTTTATTTGGTTTTTTTATATCGCCTTCATTGCAACATAAATCAGCTGACATAACTGATAAAGTGATGACTTTGCAACCAAAAAAAAACATTCCAGAGTCTACTTACTGTAGTGCCTTTGGATTGTGTATTATTTACAATGTAGATACTCAACAAATCTTTATGTGAACATTATAAAACAGCAGCAATGGAGGCAGAACAGTTGCTTCAACATCACAGTAAAAACAAATCCAATATTTTAAATATATTGTAAACGGTTATGCCTGTTGTGAAGTCACATCAGAAGTAAAGATCAGTTTCTTGTCTATATCCCAGGCTATTTGACACACAATCTGTGAGGTAAAGCATTAGAACTGTTAGAGAATGTTTCCCACTTCCCCTTAAAAAATCAGGAGTCCGTTTCAGAAATTAAACAAAGTTTTTAGCTTATGCGCATGGGAGCAAAACACACAGAGAAGCTCAATGTATTTTTCTCAAAGCAATTAAACTAGAACAGTCCTTAAATATTTTTCTGTTATCTTTCACACTTCCCTTTGCTTATCAGATATGCAGAATTCTAGGATTACGCTCATCTTCCTCTTCCCTATTTTCCAAAGAACGTATTTCAACACATTTGGTTACTTAGTTTCGTAGCAAATGTTCCTGTATAACACAGAATAGAATTACACGGTAGCCCTTGTGTCCAGCATTTGTCCTTTTCAGTTCAAACCAGTTCTGAATGTCCACCTTATAAAATACTGCTGCATCTGCAGAAAAAGTATCTACAAAGACCCTTCTCAACTTTAAATAAATATAAATAATATTAAAAAGTTCCCCAAACCATATTGACAAAATGAAATATGAGCACAAATTGAAAAGCCTAACATTTTCCTGGAATGCATACGAAAATCTCAGTTGCATTTTACACATAGACAGATGTGATTACACACAGATTAAACTTTTAAAATGAATCACTTAAACGCTGAAAATAAGACATGATCAATTTTCAGTTTGTCCAGCAGCAGTAAACTGAAAACTTTAAGAGAAAAAAAGTAGGTTATTTTGTTAATGTTCTCCCCTCTTGGGCGTGTTTTTTTAAAACTTTTCGCCTGTGGGAATCTGTGTTTGACTGAAGCATCTCAAAGACAGCTCTTTCTGATTGATATTGGAGTCTGAAATGGACTCTTGTGATCTAAGCTTATTTTTTCCCTTCATAAACACATCACAGCAATGGGCAATAAACGTTATTATTAAGGTTAAGGTAAGGGAGAGTCACACTGTAGATTTTGTGTTGCTGTTCTGTTGTCTTAAAATCTTTACCAATATCTTAAATAAAAAAAAACATTTTAATTTTCAAAAAGTCCAAAGATTTTTTTCATACATATATTTAGGAATTAAGAAATTAAGATAAGAATTTCATTATATTCCTCTTAAAGTTTTAAATCAAGGTTAGACTACTGTAATTATTTACAGTAATTAATGGGGTATCTTCTAAGTATCAGTGTTTCACAGAATTCAGGCTCAGAATTCTGAGACTCATATGCTTACTAAAACTATTCTGCATTAGCACATAACTCCCATCCTCTGTAAACTACCCTGACTACCTTTGAAATTTGATCGCCTTAAAAGAAGTATAACTTACTGCATTTTCCAATTCAAGATTAAGTATTTATCTGAGTACAGTTCAGCTCTTAATCTAAGATTTAATTATTCTAACCATTCAGGCTTTCCTGTTCTGCAGAAAACCAGGCTTCAAAAAATAGACGATAGAGACATCTTGTATGAAGCATGTCTGTGGTATTCACTGTTCAAATCCATTAGTGAGTTTGTGACTGTCGATACTTAAAGACATTTGCATCCACTAAAGTTATAAGGTGTATTTTTTTTAGTTTGGATTTCACTAAGTGAATGTACTGTGCTTTGGTTTGACTCTCTAACAAGAAGGTTAGATCCTAATCTTGCACCCAGGTGACCCCTTCACACATCTCTCTCACATCCTCCCATTGAATCTCGATCTCAGTTCTCAACAAGTGGTAAATAGTGTTAATTTGATTGTACTAACCTGAAACAGTTGTTTTTTTTATATTGGAGGTTCCTGTCTATTCAGGCTTTTGCAGAAAATACCTTCTTTCGTTTTTTGTATTGGTTTATCATTTGTATTTGCTTGGATCCTCAAAGTCCTATACGTTTTTTCACATTAATTTGTTCTAGGCTTTGTTATTGCGTGTGTCTTGTCACAGAAATTGTATGTTATTAAATGTTGTTAGAACTGCTCTTATTTGTAAATACCAGACCATTTGCCTTACTAGTTGATGTCTTCATTAGGACATTCATGAAATGTCTAATTTGTGTTCAGAAAGTGTGTCATATTAAGTTAGTAAAAACCAGAAAAAAAATTCAAAACCAACAATTGTGAATAATATTGTTTTTAATTAATTACTTTTTACTATTATATTCAACTGCTACAAACTTACAAAGCCCAGTAAATGCAACAGGTGGATTACTGTTTTTTCATTTTTGAACATTGAGAAATGTGTCTCTTCTAATTCATTAATTATAAGGCACCGACTAAGCCTACTCCATTGAGAGTGGGTATCTTATCTCTATTATGCTTCTTAAATTGGTAATGACTTCATAATGATTTTCAGAAGCTTTGAGAGTACACATATCTTTTGTTGTGTCATTTGAGATAGCCCTTATGTCTGTATCATGTTCAGCAAGGTTAGGGTTTGCTAAGCTGACATATTGAAACACCACAAAAATTACAATTCAGCTTGAATATGGAAACGCATGATAACTTTCAGGCTGCAATGTAGAAACAAACCTCTGATTGCTAAAAGCAGTGGCATTTCAGAAAATATAATGGTAGAGCAACATGGACTCATTTATGTATATTATTTTGGCATTTTCTCTGACTCAGCCTTACAAAATCTGTTCAGAAGCTATTTTTAGTTGAGTAGCTAGGATGGCAGAAAACCTAGGGAAAAAAACAGCAGAGTTCATCACGCTTGCACAACAGGATACACAGTATGTAAGAAACTATACAAAAAAAGTAATAAACCTTTATACAGCATGAGAAACTATTTCATTACAAATCAGCCTGAGCATATTCTAAGAAAACCCTAACTTACCTTATTTTTATTACAGAAATACTTTAAAATTCAAAATGTATGTGTTTTTTTTTTCCCAAACAGGCTTTTATCTCTCACAACTCAATGCAACCAGTTGCCTGCCTTGTAACTGCCATGCTGTAGGGTCCATTGGTGTGGACTGCAGTGGTACCACAGGCCAGTGTGTCTGTAGAGATCCCTCAGTGACAGGACGCAGGTGTGACCGGTGCTTGGATGAGTACTTTGGCTTCAACCCTGAAAATGGAAGGCAAGTGCTCACAGATGATGTGGATGATTTTCTGTTTCTTCCTTATTTTAATAGGCAGTTCGGGTTCTCAATACCATGGTACCCGTTGAAATTCTGAAGTAAAATTCCTGCTTCTGATTATCAGGCTACTTTGCACTTTGCTGTTGCCAGTTTGGATTTTTTTTTCTGAAGAGATGAAAAGCAGGGAAACAGAAGGTCCAGGATTAAAGTCAAATTCATCCTTTTAAATTTTTGAAAATAAATTTTAGAACTAAATATTCAAACAGCGATCCAGTGGTAATAAAACACAAACATAGTCTTTCAAAGCAAACAGATATTTGAGAGCATATTTTAGTTCCCCGTACCTTTTTACTCTAAATATTTGTTAAGGTTCAATATTTTGACATTTACCCAAAAATAGTATGTGAGTTTTAAGTTTTCTTGAAAAAAAAATTGTAATGGTAATACGTCCGTACATTATTCAGACCCATCCCTTTTATTTTGAAATGGTTAGCTGGTTATGGGCCTGAAGGTTCAAATGCAGCTAGCAAAGGTCGAAATAGTCATTAAAGGAACCCCTTTGTAAATGAAGCAGAGAATTTTAATGCTCTTGGCGCACTTGATTTGTTGGAGATATCAATTAAGCTGTAAATACATCATGCATTAGAAGTGCCTGATGATATACAGTATTGGAGCACACTGGCATGAGCATATGGTCTTAAATAAAGAAATTAAACTCTTTACAATCTTTCATACCCGAATCAAGAACATTTACCAAAATTACAAACTCTTTAACTCTGTTTTGCAAATTACAATCTGATTTAACTAAAAAGTAACATGATTAAATGTTTTAATATGTTCCTTTTTCATTTTTTATTTTGGCATTTTCTTTGACTCAGCCTTACAAAATCTGTTCAGAAGCTATTTTTAGTTGAGTAGCTAGGATGGCAGAAAACCTAGGGAAACAAATAGCAGAGTTAATAATTTCATTAAGTCTAAATTGCTAATAAAAATGGCATTATTTTTATTTTCAAAGTGAAAGATGTCTTCAAGTGATGTCAACTAAATCTAAGAGACTTAAGTTCATTCAGCCTTGTTTGCTGTGTCTTCAAAACATGATTAAAACATACAGATTTTATGTCTTGTTTGAAAGTAGATCTGTACAAATATGGAAGTAGGTGGTCATTGCACAAATACATTCAGATAACCTCAGACTTTAATAAGATATAAGTGATGATTCATTCTCTAAAATGATAGAAATGGAGAAATGGTCAGTGATTTACTGAGATGATAATAGCTCATTAAGTAGGCACAGAAATGTATCGTGATTTAAGATATCAACACATTTGATCATTTTTATCTTGAGCTGGAGTTAGAATTAGCCCATTTTCAGACAAAGCTGCCTACACCATAACTACAGTATATACATGATTGTGTTGTCTACTGAATGAATTTAGGTGGTTCTAAATCTTTTTTTGTTTTGTTTACTGTTTTAACTTATCTATGATGCTTGTCTGGTTATACATATTTGTATTATTATTAGTACTACTATTACTAGTCGCGATGTGTAGTGTTCCCATAGCCATTACTTATTGTTGCTGAAGCTAAGCAGACCTTTATAAGAGATTCTGCATACATGGGTACCCATTAAAGTCAATAAAATACGTTAACTGTATTTTTTTATGTGGAAAAAAGGGTTAGCAGCCTTTGCAAGTTAACCAAGAAGAAGTGAACTCAGGCCACTGGTGAACTTTCTCCAAAATTTCTGCAACAGGAGTTCTTAGAACCCATTGAATATTCCAAGTAACTAATGAAACTCATTCATTCAATGGTCACATCTTTCCATAAAATAGAAACGATAGAAACATTATGGAGGCACAATCTATAAAGAATTTCTTTGCTTTCTGTATATAGAGTTGTAAATACATTACAGACAAAAGTAATTTTATTTTCTTGTTTGTGCTGTACCTTAATGTAATACAAAAATACAAGCAATAAATCAAATTTCTGAAGCTCTTGAGTCTATAACTGGCTTTTGATTTGATTAATGTGCTACTGAAGTAAGTCATGTATACTATCACTTTGAACTTCTGAAAGATGAATTTTCCTTATTTGTTGTTTTATATATGATTTGCAAACAGTTTTTTAATAATACTCAAGGCTATTTTGAAGGCAAAACATGTTTTAAAGCTAAAAAAAGAGAACAAACTATTTCAGAGAACAACTTTGCAGATAATTATGCAGTGCTAGCTTTTACCAACCATTTGAAAGGTGATAAATGTTTGCCCCAGATACTACTTAATGCAAAGTCCATGGCGAATATGAACATGAACTGACATAAGGACCAAGAAAGCTGTCAGAGATATCAGTAGTATCTGTGAATGGGTCCGTTTAAGGGGCCTGGGTAGAGGGAAGAATGTCATGGACATCGATAGCTGGAGATTCTCAGGACAGCGGTCTGGAATTTAAAAGTATGATCTCCGACAGCATACAGTAGTAGTAGTACTGTAGTACTAATAACAAATACAGGTGTATTTAAATATCTCTTTGACTTTAAATATAAAAATGTGCTAATTTTGTTACTCTTACTTTTGTAACAGAATTACCAAACAGCTAACCAAATTTGTTTGTCTCTTTTTGTAAAATTTGTACAGCTTTTTTCATACAGAACCAGCCTTTTTTATGTCTTTTTGCGTCATGTTTTCTCTTATCTCTTAATACTCTCTAACGGTATTAATGTAGAATTAGGTCTATTAAATGAAGCAAAAATGAAAATAAATGAAGTGTTTAAATGGTTTAGATTAGCATACTGCTCTGCTGCTTACCTACTGACTTACTCTTGGTGACCTGCTGTCTTGGTCTCCTTTGCTTCTGAATGGTAAAGAGAAGCCATACACTGACATGACTTTAGTCATGTGCACAATCCTATGCCTCTTCTATTGCCCAATCCCTAGTGTAGAATGAGGTCCCAAATGGAAAAGCCTTCGAATTGTATAACAGTTTCATTAAATATGAGTATCATTTTTTAAGTTTAATTTGCATCCAGTGAGTTTTTCATATAATCAGCCCAGCAGCCATATCACTCTGCAACTCACAACTGGCAACCCACTGAAGCTAAGCAGGTGTGAGCCTGCTCAGTAGCTGGATGAGAGACCTCCTGGGAAAAACTAAGGCTGCTGCTGGAAGAGGTGTTAGTGGGGCAAGCAGGGGTTGCTCACCCTGCGGTCCATGTGGGTCCTAATGCCCTAGTATATTGACGGGGACACTACTGTATACTGTAAACAGGCGCCGTCCTTCGGATGAGACGTAAAACCGACGTCCTTACTCTCTGTGGTCATTAAAAATCCCAGGGCGTTTGTCGAAAAGAATAGGGGTGTAACCCTGGCGTCCTGACCAAATTTACAAATTGGCCTTTACCAATCATGGCCTCCTAATAATCATCATCTACAGTATGAATTGGCTTCATTACACTGCTCTCCTCCCCACTGATAGCGTGAGCGTTCTGGCGCACTATGACTGCCGTCCAGGTGGATGCTACACATTGGTGGTGGTAAAGGGGAGTCCCCATTACCTGTAAAGCGCTTTGAGTGGATTGTCCAGAAAAGCGTAATATAAGTGTAAGCAATTATTATTATTATTATTATTATTATTATTATTATTATTATTATTATTATCATTATCAGACAAAGCTGCAGACTTATGTTTACCCAATTGCCAAAACCATTTTCAGCAAATCTTCAGAGTGACATGTTGTCAGTGAGAGTACAGGTACATTGCAGGTAGGTTGTGTGTGTGTTCCTTTTGATCAGGTACACAAAGGATTTGATTCCTCCTGTTTTGTGGGTGCAAAAAAAGGCAGCTTAAGTTTCATTTAAAATCTTTGGCACTTCATAACTATATTCTTGTAGCTGCCTTTAGACTCCATACCAATCTGGATGGTTTTGCAATAGAATTTCATTTATCTTGTATAATATTTAAGACAAAAGGCAGTGAGACTTCAGCATTTTTTAAAATACATTTCTTCTGATTTAGAAGCTCATTGTGATAATAATGAACAGGTAAAGGTTCAGTCCATCTGAAAGGTAAGGAAAAGAACCCATGTTTCTTTTCAAGTAGCAGATAAATAAGACATACAGTAGGAAAGCAAAATATGGATTAGGTAAGAAGGGGCAGAGAGCAGGACACTCAGTGTCACCTGCTTCATGCACTTTTCCACACTGCTCTCCTACTTCTCATCTAAAGTATCTTCTACTTTGCCTCTCTGCCTCATGCCAGAAGAAGGCTCCACAGTTGATAAATTGTGTTTCCTTAGCTTTCAGAATGCTGAGGTGTAGGTTCTACCATTGAACCTACACTTTCTATAAGTGTAGGTTCAATGGTAGCTATTGATGATCTCAGGCATGTTTTCTTTGAAAAATAAAAAAAATATTATCTTGGACAGGGTCCTGGAGAACCCCAATATTTTATAGGTGGTCTTTAAACTATCAGTGTCTTAAATAAATGCTCCTTATCATTAAATTACAGGTGATTTAGGGTTACCCATAAGAATTATTAGATTGGAGTTCTTCAGAATGGGGATTGGAAATGAGCACTCCATTTTAATCAGCTTGCTTAAATTGGGAACTCTTTGTCTCCAGTAAGAGTATTAGTTATGTGTGGAGAAGGGTATAAAATGGCTCCAGTAAGAGTGTTAGTTATGTGTGGATATGGGTATTAAATGGGCAGTTACTTGTCTACTCTTAGCAAAGGTATTAAGACTTTATCGAAATCAATTCTGTTCAAGATGGGATTGTAGATGCCATTAGTAACAAACTTGCAGCAAAAAGTGAAGTCAATGTGGGATATCATCACAAGTCATTTGCTTCTTCCTGCTTCTCAGGAGCTCCTGTCGCATCTACAATACTGTTTTTTGGCCACATACATTTTACAAATTCTAGCAATCTGATGTTGTGAGCCCTTCAATAGCTATACTATGGGTATGCTCCGCTTTTCAATATGATGGCTATTATTAAAACATAAGTATGTCCTTGCATTTAATATCTTGTGTATATGAGGTGGTTTAATACTGGAATACAGGGGGCATTAAATTATACACACCTGCAACTAAAGTGCAGCACGCTGTACGAAGTACACTATGCTGGGCTGTTAATAGTGTACACCAAGTTTTGTCTCCAGTTTTCTCACAGATGGTCTCCATTGTTACTTCTAAAGTGCAACTTCATATAAACCTGTTGCATAGAGTGTTAATTATTTCAACTATGCTGATGCAAAGTTTAACTGTTCTCTCCTAGATGTGATATGTGTGGCTGTGACCGTGCAGGAAGTGTCAATGGGAGTTGTCACCCACTCTCTGGAAAGTGTTTCTGTAAGCAGTTTGTGACCAGTTCAAAATGTGATGTCTGCATTGCAGGAGCCAGTCATCTGGATCCTGGTAACTATTTGGGATGTAGTAAATGTAAGTTAAAAAAATGAATCATACATATTAATGTATACATTTTGTACAAATAATAATGTACACATTGTGTTTGTTTTTATGCAAAATTAATTGCATGTGCTAATTGTTCTGTTACTGTACATTTGGTCTTCTTTTAACCCACAGACTTCAGCATCACTGAAGGAAACCTCTAAGCAGCATTGTAGAATGTTTGCTTAAATAAATACTGTTTAATTCAAAATGTTTTTGAATTTGAATAGATTAGTACTGTTTGACATCACAGGTGCCTAGGTCAAAGACAATGAGATAAATACATTTATTCATACACATAAATGAACAAGTGTTCAGAGAAATTATAAAACTTTGAGAGCAAAAGACAGAAACCATGGCAACCCATTAAGAAGTGTTTCTATTAATGCGTTGTAGCTTTATATGTTCTTATTTTCGGACTTTTAAAATACATTTCCTAAACATACTGTATAACAAAGTGAATTCAAAATATTAATATTGAAGGGGATTTCTTTATTAGTAAATGGCTAAGCATGGTTCATTATAAATCATAAAAAGTTTTATTATTGTAACCTCTTTAACCCAAATTTAAAATTAGTCTAAAGTTTGCATGTACATTTATATGGACTAATTAATATTTCCTTTATTTTCTTTTATTTGAAATAAAAGAATGGGACAATAAGTAGTGTTATTTTTTTCTGGAAACTCATAGAAAAAGCTCCATTACATTGTTAACATGCATTAGAAGTCACAACAGTGCAGTGTATCTAAAACATCTTATCACAGTATGGACCTTACTACACAATACAGCTACTGTATACAGTAGCTATATACAGTACATTGCAGGATTAAGTTCAAGGTATTGTGCCCACAGCAAAGATCATAGAATACTTAGTGACAACAAAAAGTATTTTTTTCAATCACAGTAGCTGTTTATATATGGTTTATATACTGTATGCAAATATGCCTGTTGAATTCCATACTGAGCTTTTTCAAAATTCCTATGGGAGCACTTATCAAATATTACGTATTGACACATCTGGTTGAATTGGGTCATGTAAAATGTTTCTAAAACAAAGGAGCCTATCTGGCCTGTCTAGTCTGTTTTATAGTTAGTTGCTGATTGATTTGAGGATGTAATCAAACCATTTCTTGAAAGAAGTCAGGGGATTGTCTCCAACAATGTGGCTGTAAAGAAGATCCTCCTGCTTCCAGTTTTAAATGCTTCTTCTTTTCCATTTGGATCCTTTGATTACATCATAAATGCCTGCTAATGTAGTAGCAGTCTACTGTAATGTCTCATTCATTTTGTTTTTAATACTCCTAGCATTTAGGTACTATATAAATACTAAACTACCCATTTCTTTTTTTTCTTTCTTTTGAGATCTGTTTTTAACTTCACTTCCAATACACGTCTCTCTTAGATTTTCTTTGGGGTCTCTAAATTCTTTTAGGATTCTTTGGGATCCATTCGTTTTAAGGAAATTTATAAAAGACTAAGAACCACATTTACGATATCCTTGACCACCTTGGTATATACAAGAGAAAGAGAGCACCCTCTCTAATCATCATTTTCTGCAGCTGTCTTTTATTCATCACAGCAGGTAAAAAAGCCTCTTTTGGGAATTTAGCAGCTCCTCCTGTAAACTGTCTCCTCACTGCTAAAAATGTTAAATATGCGCAACAAACATCTTGCTTTTATGGAATTCAACATGGTGAAATGCAAACTATGCCTTCAGCAGCTTAGCAAGGCAGTGCCACTTATGTGTTTTAAATTTTATAGCCTTTAATGTTCCTGGCTGGGAGAAGACAGTTTGTGTCTGAAGCTATTGCCCCCACAAATCTGTTTTATTAAGTTAGCATGTTTATGCATAAAACATGTTTGTTTTGAGGTTTATTTCCTAGTCCATTTAATCCATTTGCAAATGTCTTAGATCTTTAACCTTGTAGTTGTGTGTCATTTGAAAGCAGTTGAGTTGTTGCTACATTTGATAAATAATAATGGTCAATATTTGTCTTTACCCCTTTTATTGTAGCTCCAGCTCAACAGCCCCCACCTACAGGGCAAATCTTAAATTCTACGGCAATCGCCCTGTCATGGAGCCCTCCAGATTCTCCCAACACCAATGTTTTAAAATACAGATTGTATAGAGACTCCACAGAGATTTATACCACCGAGATGCATTACCCATTTGGTATGTTGAACTAGTTAAATCAAGTATACTTATATTTTTATATGTTGTGAATATGAGTGAATGAAAAATATCACTGCGTTTCAAATTTTAATAGAATCCAATATAAAGCAGCCCTCTGTTTTTTATTATGAATTTGAATGAACTTGTGACCTGTTTTCAGAAGAAGACCAATTAAGCCAGTACACTGATACTGGTCTAAAAATAATGAGGTAATCAACGTATCAACTACTGGATAATTAGAAAGTGTTCCCAACAGTGAGGGACAGGTGTGTCTGTCCCAGAACTCTTGCATTTAGCTTTCTGCAATAGACAAATATTTTTTTGTATTTATTTGATAGTTAAATTATATAAATAGACAATAGTAGTTCAGATGGGTAGCTGCATCAGCATGCGTAGGCTGCAAAGGAACAAGTAAAGGAGAAAGGAAACACAACATTTCGACTGTGGAGCCTTCTTTGGGTCACACCGGAAGACGGCTCCACAGCCGAAACGTTGTGTTTCCTTTCTTCTCTTTTTAGCATGGAATAAACCTATTACTTGTTCCTAATTAAACAATAGTTGAGGTGTTGGTAACTTAAATATTCTTAATATTGATTTCATTGGTGAGAGTTTTGATTCACATCCTGGGGTTTCAGGCAGAACACTAGACTTTCAGTTTGTTATTATACACTTCAGTTTACAGATACTCCTCAGAATGTGAATACAAAACACCTTATATTTTGGTGAAGATATATTTACATTAGGGGATTAGTCAATGAAACCAACAGATGTAAACAGAAAACATGAAACATCTTTACTGGGTAAAGACGGGGGTTAGCCCGGGCTCAGCTGTTCAAGAAATGCCGTATAGAAACCTACTGTATGCCCTCAGGTAGCGGACGTGGGGCGACCTGGAGCTAGGCGGGTCTCAGGACATCCGGACATCAATGCTGAGCGAAGGAAAATGAAAGACCCAGAAATATATAGCCCCAGGGAGAGAGAAACACTGGAAGGACAGCAAAGCACAGGAAATAAGAGACAGGACAGAGAAGGAGCGCCCTCTGGCTGCAGAGGGCGTTACAATGTCTGCTTTGCTGAGGGATAACATACTGTATGAGCCCAGGAGAGACATCCAAAGGCAATTTTATTCTTTAAAAATATAGCTTTTATAGTGATAAAGCTTTTAAAATGGGTCACCATCTCAGAAGAGAGCCTTCAGCCATTACCCCACAAGAGATTGCATGCAAAAATAAATAACTAATATAGTAAGTTAAACAAGCTGATCAATTAGTAAGGAGGTTTGGTCAGAGACAGAGCTACATTGCATTGGAAAGTTGTTATACTGGGTAGCCTCACATATATTTCCTTTGCAAGGTAGAAGGTCAGCATTGTGTATTTTTTGCATTCTTGGAGGTGGGGTCCAACAACATTTAATGTTTGCTTTTGAGGAGGTGGGAATTGTGTATTTTTTACAATTGCCTTTTCAGCTCTGCCCCTCAACATCCATTGAGACTTGGTCACGGTGCAGTTGCATCTATTGAGAACCCCTGACACCAGCACTGGGTTCAATAGGCCTTCAGGACATCGAGGCTTTCTCTCTTTCTCCTTATTGGCATTCTGGCAACATCCGAGTCACTTGACTACTGAGGGGAAGAAAGAGAATCGGTTAAATAGAGCTTGGTACAGCTGTAGCAAATGAAATGAAAATAGATAATGAAGCTATTCACTACAGCTGTGCATGATTAGGACAGTAAGATAAGAGACATCCAATCACAATGACATTTTGTTGAGACATCAAGCATTATGATTTTGTTGACCAGACTAATGTGAAAATTACTTCATTGTCAGCTTTTAGGTTGGTGGAGTTAGAATATGATGACAGTTTTACTTCTCTAAAGGGCGACTTCTATTTGCATTTCAGTCATAAAAAGTCATTAAACTAAATGTATGTGGCTGTTTAGAGGCAAAGTGGTTAACATTGCTGTCTCGCAGCACTAGGGCCCTGTGTTCAATTATGGACTATCTGCTGGAAATTTATGTGTTTTCTTCCTACTATCTGCTTGAAATTTATGGGTTTCCTTCAAGTGCTCCAATTTCCTCCCACAGTTCAAAAACATACTTGTAGGTTAATTGGTTTCCGGGAAAACTGGCCCTGGTGTGCATGTGTGCGTGTGTGTGTTTGCCCTTCGATGGACTGGTGTTACAGGGTGTATCCTGCCTTGCTTGCCAGGATAGGCTCTGGAACCCAACATAGAAAATGGATGGATGGATGTTTGCATATGGGTGTATATTTTCATGAAAACCATTATCATAAGGTAGATTTTTAAAATAATTTTACCCCTTAATTTGAGATGATTTGTGGTTGTCAGATATTGGTATTTTTAGTTCTTCACCACAAGTGTGTCACCAATCAGCAATTATAAGAGTCACAATTTCACAATGAACTGTCAAGATAACATCTTAAGATGCAAAATGGTGTAGCTGCAACAGAGTTACAGCTTAAAATATTTTTTTTTATTATTTTTAGATTCCCAGGCCTTCAATGATACGAGTTTGTCACCATACACTGTCTTTTCATACTATGTGGAGGCTAGCAATGTTCATGGCCAGACAAGAAGTACATCTGTGAGTTATAGAACAGAAGCTGGGATACCCCAGGGAGAGCTCCATCTCAGCTTGATTGGTCCAGTAGGACCACATAGTGCTTTCTTCAACTGGACAGCCATTGAAAATACATCTGGGCCCATTGAGAAGTACATGTTGATGACCACAAATGTAGGCAGCAATGAAAACCGTGTTCATTATGAGGGTCTTGAGACTCAGGCAGCTGCCACTGGATTAATACCCTTCAGCAGGTATAACTTCACTGTCCAAGCTTGTACTGCTGGTGGTTGTGCAGAGAGCAACCTTGTCTCACTGGTTACAGCCCAGATTTCACCTGAGTGCCAGGGTCTTCCTAGAATTACCACCATAAGTTCCACTGAGCTTCAGGTGGTATGGGATCCGCCAGAAGAACCGAATGGTAAATATGCATACTTTAATTCTGACAGTCTAGCAACATTTGGAGCCATGATTGTAGCAAAACCTGTTATTGTTTGAACAAATCTTATTTCTAATAACATCATTGCTAATTTCTGAAAATTGTCAAACTATTAGAAAAAAACAGTAGCTGATATGTGTGTGCTTCACACAGTTCAATGTACTGTAGTCCCAACAATCCTGTCTATTTACTGTATCCCATTTATTCACATTATCATCACTATATCTGATTAGACAATGTACTACTCCAGAATAATTAAAAAAAAACTGCATCATCATTCCTAAATGATTAAATTGAGCTAATTTAATTTTCAAAAGGAATAATTCTGTGATAATTCCTCATGGTCATTATTTAATATTATACAATGAATTACTCTGGAGCAGGTTCAATTTGCTAGAATCATACTTTGATATCCTCAAGCTTCTTAAAGACAATGTTCATATTTTACATAATTTATGCCTTCATATATCATACTAACATGACTTATTGAGTACCAAGGTGTTATGAAATGACATTTGCCTAATTTAAGTGGAGGGAATATTAAGACCAGCTGAGTGGTTCTGGATGCACAAACTGTAACACAATTTAATTTATTTTGCTTTACAATTGGTTATTTTGTAAGAAGAGGATAAAATGGGAATTATGTCCTAAATTGTTGGATTGAAAATCGACCGCTGGGTTCATGGGTACAGTATATCATTATTTCCTATGTACTGTATATGTTTTGCTTTATACTATAAAATCAAACTTATAACATCATATGTCCTTATGTTCACTAGTATGTCCCCCTTCATCTCCCCAGGAATAATAATAAGATATGAGGTATACATGCGTGGGCCAATAGAGCCTGGTCAAGAGGACAGTCATCATGAAAGAAGAGTTTTTTATGACAGTGGGTGGTTGAACCCACTGCCCATAGTGAGCTCTGCCAATGAGAACGCCTTAACTCCTCCACAGAACAGCACCATAGTGAGGGATCTGGAACCATTTTCCACCTATCAGTTCAGAGTGTATTCAGTTAACATGGCAGGAGGAGTCTTCTCTGGATGGTCCTCTGGAAGAACTGAGGAAGGAGGTAAGCAAAACAAAAACATACTGTATATGTAATAAAACAGATTTTTCTTATAGAAAAGTCTTTAAAATCACTACACACGTATTTGAAACAGTACCAGTTCAAGTCTTTCTAGTGTTGCTTTTAGATTATGTCTGTTTTCTAAAGCAACAAAGAGGACAAAGCTTTTGCACAATGCCTTTGCAGCAATAACATCTAAATTAGTACCTGAAGAGAAAGGTAAAAGTGTTAGTGATTCATCCTACAATATTTGTGTTTATATGCTGTAAATTGTATATCGTATACATGTATATTGCCCACTGAACTGAAAAATGGTTATACACAATTGTAAGTTGTCTTGCACAAATGTGATAGTATGCTATATTAAAACAAAATTATAACTTGAGCAGTTTTTAAGTACTTTATAATAGCCCTAAATCACATTTAACATGGCAGAGAGCAGCTTTATAGCATGGCAGACATCAATATATTCTCTCTGTAAAGGTATTAGTTTTGTCTATTTTATGTAAAAGCCATGAACTTGATTTTTTTTTCATCTAAAAATTGATTTTCGATATATGCTTATTAAGCAGAAAGAAATGAAGAGCTTTGTGTTACAGACATTGTATGACAGCTTTTAGAAATGCAAACAGTGCATTTGCATGAAACATTGCAGGTTTTTTCATAAACAGTTAGAAAGTCTTGCTGTGTGTTTTTTAACGTAGATAAAAAATATTGAACAATAATATGGGATTTCACAAGACAGTTGAAAATACTTTTAAATGTTTCTGTCAGATGTAGTTTTAATATCTGACACTAGAAAGTATAATAAACCCTTTTTCTCATATATTTGCATGTTTTTTCACTGGCAGAGACAATGCAGGGTTTGATTTTGTTGTAGATTCTGCTTTTATTAAAAGCTACACCATGTATTTTATGAGCTCAGAATTTCCATATTTAAAATAACATTTCTTCATGTTTTCTTCAAATATAACTTTGCTTGGGTGTTGTTTGGGGGTTGTATTTTCTTGTCACAGTAAAGGGTGAAAATGTACAGTTCCTTTCAAAGACATTAAATGCACAATAATGTGCATAAAGCAGATGTTATCAGAACAATTATGTTTTTGTGGTTTTGATTATTTTTGAAAGAGCAAGCTTACAATAATAAAGTGTTTTATTTTTTATTAAGGATGACTCTGAGCTTACTTCATTTGTTACCAATCTAGTTGGTGACGTTAGGAACTATTTCATATGATGAATAAGATGGAGAGTATACTGTATATAAAAACTATGATTACCTTAGATTAGAACACTTTATTAAAAGCAAGGAAGAGAAAGTTATTTTGTAGTCTATTTAAAACTCAAATCTAAAACATGATGCCCCACATACCATATATGCATGTACATGTATTTTATTCCACAGGTGGTATTCTTAACAGGTCTAAAACAATTTGTAATTTAAATGTGTTGAAGTAAAAGCAGGTTTAAATTAACAACTTAAAAGGGGAAATCTAGTGGAAAAAATCAAATATAAAATAAACTAGACTACAGTGCAGAACATATTATGTCATACAAATAGTATGTTCCATAGTATGTTCCAAACAGCACTGTAATACCAAACGTAAATTTTAATAATTATTTTTTTCTAATGCTATAATTATCATCTAGAGAGCAAGCAATTAAATTAGAACCACATCTTTGACTAGCTGACATCAAGGTTTTAAAAATCTGACATCAATAAGATTTTGTTTTTCCTTTTACAGTACCAGTGTACATGTCACCTCCCACAGTACAGGCACTTTCATCATGTTCTCTGAACGTGAGTTGGATCAAGCCCAAGGACAGTGCTACTAGAGGAATTGTAACTGAGTACAGGGTCAATATCCATGAAGAGCAGACATCTAATCAGTTTGCCCCACCTGTTATTTCTCAAGTAAGTTAAAAGACTGTAAAGGATGATCCAACACAAATAATGTACTGTATGTGTTCATAAACAGACCAAATGAAAACAAAGGTTGCAAATGAAAGGAGACCATTCAGCCCATCAAGCTCATTTAGCAGATAGTAGCTTATTGATCCAAGAATCTGTTTCTGGTCAGAGGGAAGGCACGGTTTTGTCTTCAGCTTTGTGGAAATTGGTTCCTCCTGTTTTCCGATATAAATACATTTCAACAGAGATACACTTGTATCTTCTGATTTGTTTCACTGTTAATTATGAAGAAGTACATAGGGTTGATCTTGTTCACGCCTTTGAGGATTGTGAGTATTTGAATCAGAACCCTACGTGACCTTCTCTGTGCACAACTTAAAAGTTTTACTTCTTTTAGCCTAACAGTGTAGGACATTACTAGACATTTTTAGATCCCAAGAATGTATATGGTTGCTCTAGTCTGAAATTATTCCAGAGAAGTAATATCTTTCTCGTAGCTTGCTGGCTAAAATTGTACATACCGTAACAAAGCTGAGGTTCTATAAGTGCATGGTATATTTTACCATAACATCTCTTGATTTAATTTTTATACATATAACTATATATTATATTATGCTTGCCATTTTTATTGATTTCCCACATTGCTTGAAAGATGAAAATGACGTCTCTACGTGAATACCTAAATCTTTCTTATATGTAGCCTCTTCATGTTCAGTGTTTCCCATTTGTCTGCAGTATATTATACATAATCTGCAAGGTGTGTTCAGGTGGTCTAAGACCATTTGTATGTATTTTGCAGTTTTAACATTATTTACTAATCCTGTTGGTTATCATTTGCAAATTTGATGTGTTTGCTGACTACACTAAATCTAGATCACAGATGTCAATTAAGAAAAGTACAATATTAGTCCTAAAACAGATCTCTATGATACTTCACTAAGGACTTACTGTATATACTGTAACTACAATATCAGTAGTCACTCCTTGCCTGTACTCTCTTTCCTATTGATTAACTTGTTCTTACTACAAAATCATGTATTAGCATGAATTTCTACTGTCAGTAATGTAAGAATTGATCTTTTGTGATTAACTTAAACGTCTTAAAATCTCCATGTTTATCATATAAATATTTTGCATTTTTTGTAGTTAGCTCTGTGTAGTAGCCTTAGGTTTTTGTGCACACAAAGTTGGCCTTGAAGATGAAATACTGTGTTATAGAAAAGATGAAAAGGGTCTAGAGCATTCCAAACCTCTGCAAATATTTACTTAAATGAAAACATCAGAACCAAATGGCATATTAAATATTTTGACTGTTCCTTCCTTTTCCCTTGTAAGTTTACACCTTGTCAAAGGGAATATTTAATGTAGAATTCTTCTGAATGCATGAAGGTGATTGTTCTACCAGCAAGCTTCTATAAATTTACTGCACATGTATTGTTCAATTTTCTTTCTATTCACTCAGGTCTTTAATATAGTCTACAGCAAGTTAATGATACAGGAACAGTAATCTTTTTGCAACTGTCTTTTCTTAACAGGTTCTTTATACGGCTGCATCACATGAGTGGATGTATATAGTGAAAGGCCTGAAGCCTTACAGAGTCTACAATTTCACGATCACTCTCTGCAATAGACTTGGATGTATTACAAGTCTGGCTGCCTCTGGGCAAACACTAGCCGCTGGTAAGGGCATACGGTATGATGGTTTGTGTGTATATGTGTATGTGGTATTAAAAAAATAAATTAAGGCAATTCATATAAAAATAGTGTAGATTGTGGACTTTATACTTTTGATATACTGTAGTCACGCGTGACTTCAGAAAAAAGTATCAGTATATAATATGAATTTATTAAATGTAATTATTCCCTTTTCAGCAAAGAAATGTGGTAAAATAGATTATTCTGTGAAGAATAAATGGAAAATAAAATCTTATAAAAAAAGTAAATTTAGCAAAATATGTATAGTTTATAAGTTGCTAGTTCATAATGAGCTGTAGGACAGCTAAAATATTCCAAAATACATTTGCTTAATATATAAATTAAGCAAATACTGTACATTAAAAAGAACAACCATACTGTAGCTCTAAACTAAAAGGTTTCTCCTAAGAATGTCTAAAAAAATCTGTCCATTTGATTTCACAGAGCTGAATTCCCCATAAACTGAGTGACAGTTCTCTACAGTTGTGTGATTCAGATTAAATCAAAACTTTGACCCACCTGCCACTCACAAATTGCAAGCCTAGTACTTGATGGCAGCTTTTTGTTTGCCAGAGGCTTGTTTGCTTCTACCAAATGGAAACCTGCCATAGAGTACTGAGTTTGTAATTTGCAGTTGGTGGGTGGGCTGAAGGTTTGATTTAATCCAGGCCCAAGACTTCCACCAAATCTGGTTAGGGGGCAAATGAAAGTTGTTAGTGGATGTTGCATGTTAAAATTCAACAAGGAGAAAAGATGTGAGTGAGCAGGTGCATTCTGTAAAAGGAGTAGTTAAAAATTACAGACTTTTTTTTTTACATGTTGAGAAAAGTTTGCTTCAGATTTGTTTTTAAAGGGATGCTGGTGAACAGAAAGAAAAGTTTAATTATTGTCTAGGATTTACATTAAGAGTTTTTAAAACTATCCTATGATAGATCCTTTTCAGACAGGAAAAGTATTAAACTAAAGATGTCTCTGGAATTGCATTTTTAAGAATAAGAACCTTTAAAATGAAGAAAAAACTTGGGAAACAAAGTTGCTGTATAAGAAATTGAAGGGATTCAAGATTTACAATTAACACTTGTTTGCGAAAATTAGCAAACCCTTTTTATTATGGATTCAAAATAGATATAGCTGAAATACTGAGACAGACTGGGTGCAACATATTTTATCACTAAGAGGCACAATATAATACTTCTGCAAAATTTTATAAACAAAGCACTCTTTGTAGGGAATCCCAGTTTGTTTTCACTGGCACCTAGTATTGTTGATAACATGGAAATGTGCCTTTTTTCTTGGGCAGAGGCATCACTACCAGGGTCTGATGGTTTCCTCTTGCAAGTCCTTCCAATATTTTTTTTTTATTCAATGCTACAAATACCACCTCTCCCAAAACTGCCAATAATATCTAAGTAATGATTAATACTATAGTAGCCATGGTTGATCATACACTTCTCACAAAATAATTCCAGGTCTTCATTTCAAGTGATAGGGCATGGTGTAATGCCCTACAAACAATGTTTGGTGAGAGCCTACCGGAATAAAGAAAAGCTGAGCATGTATAGTATGCCTGTTACAGTAGATTTACATTGTCTATTGCAGCAGTAGGTGGGGAAACAAAAAGGACTTGTAAAGAGTACTAAGTAGGACTTAGTAAACACGATTGATTGTTATGTAAATATATTGAAGCCACAGCTACTGTATCTTATGCTCTGATACACTATAGGATTCTCCTATGGTCTGGAGTCAAGCTGGTAATTCCAACCATTTAAATATACCAGTGTCTTGACTATTTAACCATGAAATAATACAGTATATTTGTACAACAATATAGAGCATCTTAGGGAAATTTAATATACAAGAAAATAAGGTATCTTTGTGGACATGTTTTATGAAGAAAGGCTGTTCTTTTTATATTGTTTTTTTTTTTACTTCAGGAAATCTACTCTATAAGGAGTACAGTATGCAATATGACTTTAAGAGGTCTGTGTTGTTATGCTGTATCTCTTGTAAAGGTATGAGCATGTACAGTAGATAGTCTGTTACTGTTAAGTGTGGGGTGCTTTTACTGCACTGACTGTTTAAAACTCCTTCCTAAGAGTATTGTTTAGATGTCTGGGGTAGTAATAAAAATGCTCCTAATCTCCAGCCAGCGGCCTACAGTATGTAATTTATGCACCATGAACACTGCTTCTCAGAAGGGGCCTAGTGATGCCTTGGATGAATCTGTGGGAGTGTGCAGGTGTGAGGCGACAGTTATGGTGATTACACTTTCTTTATTTGAAAGGAATATGTTGGTGTCTGTAAATACCATTCCTATTTGAGGTAATGTCCCTTACTAGGAAAGTAAAATGTAATTACTACAAAAGCGTATAAAAGTGTAAAAATGGTTTATACTGTTATTCACTTATACTGTATACACTATGTGCATTGGTTATTTTACTATCATTAGCTTTTCTTTCAACTGTTCTTTTATGTTTGTATTTATGTTGTCAGACGTTTGCAATGTCAAAATGTGTATGTTCTGTTTTTTTTTCTATCAAATATTTCTATCACATCCATTTCTCACATTAATCTTACTCCAAATAGAGTCTCTGAAGCAGCATTTCATCTCTGACTACATTTTTGTCATAATTTACTGGTCTGAAATATTGTACATTTGTTTAAGGCTCATAATGGTAAAGCAGATTCATGATTGGTAAAACAGGTGAATGGATAGTAAAACCAATTTACAGGATTTTTTAAAATGAATTTAAGAGCTCCTTTTCGATGGGGAGGGATGTAAAAATATATGATTATGCTTATAGGTTACACATACAGACTTAAAATATTTTTAACAAATTTGCTTGGAAAAGCTCCTATTATTGTAACTCCTAGTCCAGAAACTCCTAAATTCTATTGATTCTAAATTATTATAGAGTATTTAAGTGCTCATGGCTTATTAGTTATTAATGCAGATTTTTAATATTAAAAATGGGAATATATTGTCAAATCCAATACCCTGACTTTTTTATGTCTGGATTGAATCTTCAGATCAATTAGTTACTAATACCAATATCTAGATGGGCTGAATTGTTTTCTTTCACTTGTAACCTTTTTTATTCCCTATCAACTCAACAATTGCTAAACCATATCTTAAACGCTTGTGCAATGACCCAGACACATTTATTAGTATTCCAGTCCACAGGCAAATGATTACTTTTAAGATGTGGACAAAATAAAAGAGGTACAGAAATAAATAATAGGACAATAAAATGAAAATGGTATGGGGGAATGAGAAAGTTTTGTGTAGCAAATTGAAACTAACTTAGGTGCATAAAATTATTTGAACATGCCACACAATTAGTTGTTCACATGATTTCAGATTTCATGATTACAGAATTTCAGAGCAAATACTGTCTGTCTGAGTACGTTCCTTCAATTAGGTAGCAAATTTCAAACAAAGATATAAGACAAAGCAACTTTAGAAAATAAGAGATAAAATTGTAGAAAGGCACAGATCAAGTGTAGGGTATAAACATTTTCAATGACACTGAAAATCTTTGAGCAAATGAAAGTGAATGTTCTTGAGTGACCCAAAGTGGTGGCCTGAACGCTTCTGGGAATCTGAAGAAAGACTAGAGAACTGCTGTTCATAAGTGATCCTCAAGCAACTTCAGTGAGCTTGACCACTTCTACCAAGAAGACTGGGCAAAAAGTACACCAAACATTGTGAACAGCTGTAGACACTTAACCAAGAGACTTTCACTAGTAATTGCCGCAAGAGGTTTTTCCTCCAAATATTGAGTTCATGGGTCTGAATACTTATGCTGTTACCATTTTTTTTCTCTTTAGTTTTTGCTGTCATTTCCTATAAATTATCTTATTTTTAGAAGTCTTCAGTTTGAGCATATATATTGTTATAAGGTTGATATACAATATTTGTTTTCTCTTAAATTTGGATAGTTCTAGCAGGCCTAGTCTTTAGATAGGTTTGTCACTCTCATCAATAGTTCTGATCTTTCCCTGACTCATGATGTTTCTGGCATCATGGATTTTCTTGGATAAAAACACCAGGGGAAATAAAGCTGTGATTTTGTTATAAGAATTCACCATCAGTATTTGATTTGGGTATGTTAATACTTAAAATCAGTTGCCGTTGATAAATAAACGTCATCTCACCTTACAAAATATTAGTGTTAAAGCTTACTAGGTTCTATTATCCAAATTTTTGTTTTTATATGGAACTGAACTTCTGTTAAGCAGTGCAGAAAACAAGCTAAAATGTTCCTAGCTCCTAGCAGGAGAGCAGGTACTCACTTAAAGTAGTCCTGGAGGAAAGAGAAAGAACGTAACTCCTCCCTTCTTTTTAAGAACCAGTGAAAGGGCAGGCCCTGGGGACTGTGGCTGGAGCAATCAGTTCCACCACGGAATCCCCAGCTCCCTTTTCCAGAACACCATCTGGGTCAAAGGGAATAGGTGGAATATCTGGGTGAAAGGTGACCAGATTCACTTTTCACTATATTTTTTCTTCTCAAACACTGGTCATTTGTCATACTGTATATTCTTAATGATTATTCTACTGGTTTGAGGTTTCAATTGAAAAAAAATTATTCTGACTTAAAAACTTTTTAATTAATGTAGCTATTTAATTAAATCTAGCCTACATATTAAGTATCTTCATTGACTTTTCAATGTTTGTGATTTAAAGGACATTTTTGATTTTTCATACAGTATTAGAAGACAGGATTTACAAAATCTTTTTTCCTTGTCTAGATAGGAATTTTAAATTCTTCCAGTAAATTAAATTTTTTAACAATAACTTACCCAGTGTTGAGTTCAGTACTGGAGATTTGTCAATCATTATTTGGATCCCCAATTGTTCAAAATATTTTGAAAAAGCCATCAATAGATCAAGTATTTACATAAAAAGTATGAGAAAAAGTGAGATGAAAACAAAAAACTGCTGTTGCTCTTGAGTATCAGCCAGGCAGTAAACAATCACAGCA